CATCGCGAACGAAAAGGCGGGCCAGCAGGTTGCAAGAATATATAGAAACAAAAAACAGGAGTGATAGGGAGTGCACTTGTCTTTTAGGTTTGTGGCTGAGAGGAAAGAGGCACGTCTGGTGAACAACACAGCAGCGAGAGAGAGGATACCCCCCCACACACACACACACACACCTTTTCCCAAAAAAAAAGATTTCTTCGAGTTCACAAAGCCGAGAAGTTGCCGTGGCACTTGATGCTCAGCCACTGCGAAAGCCTTGGCATTTTCCTTTCTGGCTCGTCAACCTACACACAAGAAATGGAAAAGAACGCGGAAGGAGACGGTGTTGGTGCTCGTGAGACGCGCATCGAATTCAATTGGCTCTGCTAATCCAGCTCGTCGCTTTTTTGAGAGCCACTCCCGCTCGCGACGCGTGGCGGTGTATCCGTCACTTCCGACGCCATCGCCGTAGAAGAGTCCGTCGTGTTGGAACTGGACGATGGCTTCAGCTCCTCCCACGGAAACGGCCACGTGTGGCGGCCAAGGTACGAAGTCGCCATCCCTTCCAGCACTGTGACGACCATCGCCTCAATCGCCTCCGAGCCTTGCTCGGGGATCATCACGGAGAAGGTCGACATGTACGCACGCAGGAGAATCTGTGCGAGCAAAACACCCATAACGCGTTTAGTGCGACACCGCGCCGCACCGGTGCGACGGCGACGCAGAAAGAGCTTTCCTAGGGTTAAAATCACGGACGGCACCTGCCACGTGAAGAAGTCGAAGTTCCACTCCGCGCCCGAGCTGGCGAAGGCGTAGAGGGCGTAGCTGGCGTACGCACCGGGGCTGAAGCGGTCCACCACCGCCAGGAGGTCGGACCAGCGCGTGAACATGTAGTCTAGCATAAATCGCGGCGTCGTCGAGGCGGCGAGGTAGCGCACAGGCATGATGAGCACCGACACGCCGATCTCGGCGCTCATCGAGAGCACGTAGCGCATGGCTTCCCGTTCCGAGACCGCCATGGCGCCTTTTCGGCCAAAGACCCGCTCCTCCAGAAAGCCCCGGCTGCCATAGTAGGCGGTCGAGTGTAGACAGAGTCGCAGCAAGGCGCCGTAGGTGAGGCGAATTGTTTCGAGGCTGGAGCTAATCTTGGGCAGGAACTGTGCGCTGGAGCTGTTGGGCCCCATGTGGTTGAGTCCGCCCATCATTGTGGAGGTATTGTGCGGCTCCATGAGAGGACTGGACCCGTTGCGGCCTTTTTGGGTGGAGAAATATACTTGCGGACACCGAATAATAAATATACTGCTAGAAATACTGCAACGACTAATCGGAGGAAACACGTCAAAACGGAAAAATCAAAAATGATACACTAACTAATCCGGTTTCCTCTAACTAATAATCAATAAACCAGCAGTACTTTTCTAGCTCTTTTGCTACTTGTGTGCTCTTCCTTTGTTGTTGTTGAGCGAAACAAATAGCCTACTCCCCAGGGTCAGGAACGAAGAGACAGGATATGAATACACACACACACACACATACATACATACACACGAACACACACGCACACATACTTAGTGGGGGACAGGAACGTGGATACGGAACGAGACACCAGCGACAAAGAAGACAAGGGAGCAGGAAACCAAAAGAGCGGGAGAAGGTAGTTTTTTTTTGTATTTCGAGCGCAGAAGCGCCGTAAGAGCCGCTCTCAGCGTTTTGCATCGTCCTTCGATTCAGATAATAAATAATGATGAAAAAAAGGAGGCAAAGTACACGTCTGTAGTAATCCCAACGGTGGATCCAAACTAATGAACGCCGAAGTGGTCCGTCTCGGCATTTCTGTTTGCTGAAGTGGAGCTCTGAAGAGAGAACTTTAGAGCTATCTTGTGAAAGTGGAACCACACACACATACCCCAAGACACACGCGCATTAAAAGTACATTGGCCAACCAAATCGACAGCCTTCCGTCAGACGTGGCGACAACCCCTCAACCTTATGAACTCTCCGTGGCGTAGAGCGGCATCACAAGCTCGCGTGGAAGCTGCAACGAAGGCGACACAATCAAAAACGGCTTGGGGAGTTCTCCACCTGACGGTGCGAGGAAACTCACAAATTCCCGCCCGACTTCGAGCAAGACGACGAAGCCCGCGACGTTCGCCTCACCGGCAGAGGCGGTGGTGTCCGCCCAAACCACCGATGCCAAGCTCAAACCGGGGACATCGTTCCACTCAAGCCGCTGAAGCGTCTCGGCGTGCATCAGCTCCAAGTCGCTCATGCGCGCTACTCCACGTACCGGCAGACGCGGCGCGCGGGGCGTGCCAAAGAGGTAGCGTTCCAGCTGCAGCTGCCGACGCTGCGCCACCGCACCTGCGCTCGGCGGCGTCACACCCGCCATCTTCGCCGCGCGCAGAAACGTCACACTGCGGCCCAGCACCGCATTCACGAGGAACCTCTCCAGGTCGTAGTCCGCCCCGGTGACAATGACGTGCGTGACGGCGAAGATGGAAATTAAGTCGCTCAGCAAGTCGTGCGCTATCTCCGTTGCAGGGGACATCGTGTGGATCAGCAGACCGCCGGCCTCGAACTTCGCGTTGGCGAACCCGAGCGATGTAGCGGCCTGGGCAACGCAGACGCACAGGTCCAGGTAGCGCTTGCGAGTGACACTCGTGACGGACGGCGTGCCGTGAAAGAATGCCAGCGGCATCATGACATCAAAGTCCTCCGGTGCCACAACAGGCTCCTCCGCAAAGACGGCAGACACGGTGCCTGGACACCCAACCAACGGCATCGCAACGTCCACGTCCACGAAGGCGATGCCGTACGGACTGTCCCGACGGACGGCGAGATTCAGCAGCGACCGGGCCACCAGCTCGCGCTCCCATTGGTTTTCCCCAACTATCAGCACACGGGGTCCTTGCCATGACTCCTTCAGCTCCTCGGAGCTGGACAGCGTGGTCGTCGCGCGTTCTTGGATCGCCAGTGTTGCATCTGCCCGCGCCGTGTCGAGCAGCGCGTGAATTTCATCTAATGTTCCATTTAACGGTGCCTGTGCAACCGTCGCTGACCCTTCAACCTGAAGGATCGCGTCAGCATATGCCTCGATGACGATGCACGCCTCAGCGGGAAATGTGTAGCGCTGGTTGCGTGTGAGGGCACTGCGGTGCAGCTCCGCTCGCCCGCTGAGCAGCACCACAGCACCGCCGGGCTGGCCAGACGGCCATTGAATGGTGGCCGATTCTTGACAGAGATGGATGACGCGTCGCGTCGGCGCCGTCTGCATGCTGACTGGAGTGGAGAAGAAATGAAAATGTGCTGGTGTTCCAAATGTGTGAATGAAACATGAAGGAAAGAGAAGAAAAGAAACAGCACAGTTTGGATGCGAAGAAAGACAGCTGCGCAGGACAACGCTGCGTGGCATGTGGACGAAGAGATTGCCGTTGGCTGTGCTGGTATAGGTGCCATAGGGAGAGGTCAACAGACACTTGGCAGCGTCATTCCGCATACCTACATTTTCTGTCAACAAAAACACAAACAAAAACGCAAGATGACTGGATGTGCGTGTGTGATTCCTCCAGTTCTCTTCGCAGCTGAAGTTGCCTACGCCGGGCGGTTTCAACAGAGAATTGAATACAACACAAGTAATGCTGTTGAATCAACCAAGAGCAATCACCGCGGGAAAAAAAAACACGTTGACAAACAGCAGCAAAAAACGTGAAAAGGGAGGGGGGAAGGAACTCCGCTTTTCCGACCTCCTCCAGAAGAGCTCACGAATACAACTTGAGTGCCCCCGTGACAGGATTTAAGAGGTCGGATGGGGCCGGACCAAGGGCAACCACCACCACCTCATCTGAGTCAGAAGGCGTCATTTTCTCTACCGCCACCCCATCGTGACTGCCGAACTGAGAGCGGCGAAGCTGTACCACAAGAAGTCGCTTCTCCTCTGCAGCCCTCACCACCTCCGCCATTACCGCCTCTTCTGGACACTTGAGTGTGATTTTGCCGCAGCCAATCCGATTCCACCACAAGTACCAATGCCGCCAGCGCTGCCAATCTTGTACGGTCGGCGCAAACGTCGATGAAGCGGAGGCTGCAACGAACCCGCTATCGCACGTTTCGGCGGAGGACCGAGAGGAGACGTTTTGGCCGCCGTGATGCAGTTCCACCAGCCGCACTCCCGCGCTGGCCGTCAGCACCGCCACCTCCTGCGCGGACATCTTCGGTTGAACTGGGTGTCGCACCACAAACACCATCTTCAGACGCAAGTCCTCCATCCGCTCATACTCGCTATCTTCCTCCTCTTCATCTGGGTGTGTCGACGTCGACGCCCAACTGCTGCTGCTACTGCTGTTGGAAGGAACAGCTTCGCCTTCACCACAACACTCATTTCCAGCTTCGGCAGAGGAAGTGTCCACTGGGTTGGTGTTCGCCTCCATTTGTGCCTCTGCGACTGCGCCTGAGACGTCCGAAGACGCCGATGCTTGCTGCGGGCGCAGCTCGTTCAGCAACTTCGCCGCCCGCTCGCGTCGTGAGAGAATCGGTGCGGGAGTCGTCGCCTTCTCCAGCGACCTGCCCGCAGAGGTGGAGACGCAAAAGTGGAGAAGCGCGCTGCAGAGAAGTGCGGCGGCGCAGCCGAGAAGAACCCCCACTCCGTACGCCGCCGGCCGCACCTTCGTGTCACATAATGGCGACATGAAATTCTGTTGCACGTGAAAAAAAAAAAAGAAGAGAGAGATGGGAAGGGGGGAGATGGCGATATTCATTAGATGCGCGGCTACGAATACGAAGACAGAGAGAAGCGGAAAGGGGAGGGGGGCACCGCGCAGTAAGCCACAGAATTAATAAAGCGTTCTCTCGCAAAAAAACCCATAGCGGTCGTATCAACCCTCTGAAGACTCTTCTCATCGGTGACAGGAGCAGGAAATGCCAAAAAATAATAATTCGTGTGTGCATTCCGCAGCTTGAGATTCGAGCAATCACTTGTAGCCGCTGCACAGCCACTTCTGTGCCTTTTATTTACCCTTCAACAATCGCATCTCTCATTTTAAGGACAGTGCACGGAGAAAGAAAAAAGCAAGCAAATACAAGAAGAAGAAGCAACGAGGAACGCAAGCCAAAGTTCCTCTACACAACAACTGTAATGCGACAAAATATTGAAAGCGTTCCTACACAGCTCTTCTACACTCCTCGTTTCTTCTTCGTCTTCACGCAGTCGGCCGTCGGTTATGGCGAAGTAGAATGCCAGGTGAGGCCTCGTTGACCGGTCGCACATTGCCTAGTCGCAGTGCGCTCCTCCGGCGAGCAGCGTTGGACGACGTTGTTTGCTTGTCCCCGCCTGGCGCTTTTATAACGTTGGCCGAACGGCTTTGCAGTGTCGCGCTACCGGGCCTCGGTGATACCCACGGCGTCTGCTGTGCCCGGTCCGTCACGCCGTGGTTTGCATGGACCTTCACCGGCACGAGACGGCGCATTGGCTTGCGGTTCACTGCAGCAAACGCCTTGTCGTCCTCGAGGCTGATGGGGGTTCTATTCAACAGCGGATGTGGGGTGTGAACCATCGTCGTGGCCGGCGTCGCATCGCCTCCCCCAGCCGCACTCCGTCGTCCGCTCAGCGGTGCAGGAGAAGGCACCGTGTTGTGGAAGCGCGGTGTCGCAACGCGCGTGCCGCTGCACAGATTTGTATTGCCGGTCTGCCGCGACTGTACCACGCCGGTGGAAGAGACCCGTCGATACCCACGCGGGGACATCGCGGGAGGCGGAGGGAGGGGACGCGCCGTATTCGGTGTGCGCTGCGCGTCCCTCCCACTGCCGCGTTGAACCACGCCTGAAGTCGTAGTAGTTGCAGCGGCAACAAAGTGCGGAGGGGTGGGAGGAAGAGGGTTCGACGAGCCATTCGACGACTTCTGTGCGTTGAGTGGGTTCGACAAAGACGCGTCCGCCCCGTGAGGATTCTGAAGATGGACGTCACTGGTGCTGTTGTTCGCCGTGCGCGGACTTCCTCCCGCGGTCGGTGCGTGAGGAGAGCCGGGCATCGACGGTTGACGCAGGCCGAGGGCCGACAACGGAAGCGGTTTCACATACGGTGTCGGTTGGTTGTGAGAAGCAGGCGCGAGATGCTGCTGCGGAGGAGGAAGAGGCGGTGACGCCGGCGCTTCATTCTTCGAGGGAACTTCCGCAGGAGGTGCAGTGAGGAGCCGGTTTTTGCCGCGGGCGGACAATGGGTGCTCACCGGCCGCGACGCCGCCCGGTCTGCTTACAACGCGCGACACCGTCTGGTGCGAAGCGGCCGCATGGGCTCCACGAGCCGAGTACTGCAGAGGCACACCTTGCTTCGTCTGCGGGCCTGTCGGAGCTTCACGGACGCCACCGTTGCCGGTCACGTTGACGGACGTGCGTAACTTTTGGCCGACAGTGGGGCGGAGAGGTCGAGTGAGGGGCGCGACGGCGGTCGTTCGACCTCCACGACCGCCAAAGCGCTCCTGACGCACTTGCGGGGCGGCGGCGGCGGTGGTGGCGGTGGCGCCAGCTAGGGCGCGAGGCATACCGAATGGTTTAGGGTAGTGCGGTGTGGCGGCATCAACTGGCGGCGCCACGCAATTGTGTACGCCGCGACGCTTGCACGGGCTAGGTGGAACCGGCTCCGGACTTTCGCTCATGTGCGCCGACCAGCCGCCCGCTGGAAGCAGGAAGGTACCGAGTGGGTTGGCCCCAGCCACGGCCTCTGCCGCTGAGGGGCCGGCGGAAGTGCTGCTCACGCTCATATTCTTGCTGCAGGTGAGAACGGTGCTGCTGCGCCGGTCCGTTGCGCTGTGCAGTGGTTCGTAGGTAGTCGCTGGAAGTACCCCGGCTGTGATGTTCGACGATGTCGCCGTGACGCTGACACGTGGACGCTCGAGCACGGCGGGCATCATGCGTTGCTGCACCGCTCCCGCAGCAGTCGTCTGCGACAAGGCACTTTGCGCAAGGACGCGCTGACGCTGAGCGCGGCGCTTGCGATCTTCTTCCTGTTGTACTTTGAAGCACTGTCCGCGACGGCTTTGGTTCAGAACAACCATGTTCACCACATCATCGAGAAGCCGCTCGCGCTGATCACGTAACGCGGCCGCTTGTTTTCGTGGTGTCCCGGGATGCTTTTGGTGCGGCTGCGATTGCTTTGACTCCTGCTGCGGCTGCGACATCCCGTTGGTCGTGGAGTGTGACCCATCGCGAGGCGTGCGGCTTGCATTGTTCGGGGAGCATGCACTGCTTGGCGAGTGCAGCTTGCGCGCGCTGCTACTGCCACTCTTCGAGTTGCCCGATGTGGATGATCGTCGCCCCTGCATTAAGTATGCACTCGGCTTCACGTGGATCGGCATGCCCATCGAGGGGGCGTCGTAGTACACGTCGTCCTCGTCTGCGGGGGACCTGGGCGAGAAGGCGGTAGCGGCTTTCCTTCCGGAGTGCACCGCGGGCGTGGGCCGTGGAGGCAACGGGGCGTTCTTGCGACGATGTCGGTTGACCAGCATCTGCTCGTCGCGCAGAGCCGCTTGGTGATAGGCCATCTTATCCTTCAACGTCATATTTCGAGTCGTATCCTTCACAGCCGTCACGCCGTTGCTGTTGGAATCGACGCCGTGGAGTTGTCGAGCACTAATTCGAGTTAGGCGCACACCGTTGTGCAGTTCGCTGCCACTTGCTGACGTCTTTGCCGGTAGAGTCTCCATGGGTGAAGTTAAAGTTTCGGGATGCGCGGCGGGCGCTGTCAACGAAGGAGCGAATTTTGCGTCGTGTGTTTCGCCTTTCGTTGTCGCAAGATCGGGAGTCGCCTCGTCCGCTTTCTGCGTCTCGTCTTCGGATTCGGCATTGCAAGTGCTCGGTCCATCTTCACCGACGGAAGTGGTGGCAGGAGCAGCAGCAGCAGCAGCAGCACTCTGCGATGCCGGGAGCATTAAAGAGGAGCGAATGCGCTCCACCGTTTCGTTGATGACGTCCTCCACCTGCGCCGCTGCGAGGTAGGCTCCATCGGCCGCGGTCGAGATGCGCAGCTGGGCAAACGAAGAATGCAGCATCCACTCCAAATCTGCAATAAAAGACTCGACGTCAGACACGCCAAAAGTGCCGCCGCGGAGATTGTCGTCATCGCTCAGCAACAGCCAGTCGCTCACGACCCACCGCGAAGGCTGCCGTGCCTCGGAGGCGCCGTCGCGCACAATCAACAGCTGTTTAATGGCGTCCACGCTGAGGTTGCCGTGGGGTGGCAAACCGGCACTGGCGTAGCCAAAGGATTCGACGGCGCTCAAAATTTCCAAGAACACCTGCTCCTCCATCACGCCCCAGCCAGAGCGAATGATATCACCGAGAGAGAGCCCCGCGAAGGCCTCCACGCTCGCGACGTAGGTGTCGCCGGTGGTTGGTTGTTCCTGGATGTAGATGTCAATGGGCAACGCAACGGACGGCGTGGCCGCGGCCTGCGCGACGGCTGAAAGCAACGCGTCAATGCGTGCCTGCTGCCGCCGAATTCTTTGCAAATTGGACAACGACAGAAGTTGTCCCTCGTGCGGTTGCTCTCGCTGTTTCTCTTCGGCAGCATCATCCACAGGCTCGCGTACGAGCTCCAGCTTCCGACTTCGCACCTCGTACGCCGCCCCCGTCATCTTATCCTCTGCGCAGAAGCGCGGACCGTTTTTGCTCTCATCCGCCTCGCTCACGCAGCTCCGCACCGTCAGCAGCGGAAAGAGGTCATGGTCGATACTGCTGGGCGCTTTCAACGAGCTCTTGAGCATGATGTCGAACTGCACACACCCACACACACGCAACAAGATACGATTAGAAGTGTCTTTATGGTGAGTACAAAAAAAAAGGAATTCTACAAGGAAAAAGACAACAAGATCACACGCAGGACTGACAGAGGAGCAACTTGCAGCACTAGAATTACACGAAAGCAGGGAGAAAAAAGAGTTGTTGTCACACACACACACACGCAGGCACGCCCACACAGTGGAAAACGTTCAATATATATGTGTGTGTGTGCGTGTGTGTGTGTAAAATCTAAGAGGAAGGTAGTGTAGAAAAAGTTAAACAGAAATACAGCAGCGGGGAGCGCCGCACAACGTGAGACGTACAGCAAAAGAAGAAGGGTTTATACAAAACGCCGAGCAGCAGCTCGAAATCCGGGCAAGTGAATGTGTTATGCCTTCGTGGAGAAGGCAATCTTCTAAAAAAGAGAAAAAAAAAGAAAGAATGCAACAGCGTGCGTTAAAGTCTACGTTTAAGATACACGTTGGTCAGAGGTAAGAAAACATTCCAAAGAACAAATGATGCCCCACGCTTTATTTCGCGACGACTTCAAGACGAAAAAAAAAGCTTCTGTAACTCCTTTCGTTAACTTCACAGTAACGTCGTCTTTCTTCGTCTGCGGGCTTGCGTACAAACACAAAAAGACGCGCGCGAGAGCGCTGTTCTTCGAATAACTGTCAGCAGTTGGCTGGGTTGAAGAATGCGGTTTTGGTAAGTTTCAATAGAATTAAAAATATATAGAGAGAGAGTTTTTGAAAGGACAGAAGGGAAAAAGGCAGTTGGAAAGGACTGTCGATGCAGTTTTCACTTATTGCATGTTGACGCCAACAGCAAGCTCCACTTTCACGCAATGCCTTCGGAAGCTATGGTTCTATCTCTGCGTGTGTGTGTTTCGTATTTGCTGATTGAACCTCGATCAGTCGCGGTGGTAACTCGGTGAAAGAATATGGAGAAAAATACAACGTTGAAGCTGTTTATTGTAGTAATACTCAGTCAACACGACTCAGCTAAGTGGATAGAGAAGAAGAAAAAAGAAAGAAAGAGCAAGAAAGCGTGAGAGAAGAAGCTGTGATGAGTCGTAGGTAGTGCGAAGAACATCGGTAAAAGGAAAAATGTTTGACAAGTTAGTTGCTCGACACAGGAAAGGCGGTTTCTCCGTAGCGTTCCGTGCTTTGTGGCTCATCTTCCTGAGGGCCACAACGTACCAAAACTGCCACGTCTCCAAGAACACGACAGAAAACAAAAAAAGCGAAACCTTACGCCTTTTCATTTTTTCGTGGCACAGAGGCAACGCACCTTCTCGTCCCATTGCACAGGTCCAACTGCCCGTGCAGTTCGGCGAAGGCGACAAATGGATTGCGCTCCACTAGAGAATTGTGCTCCGGTGGAGAAACTGTCTTCTTATGATGGCGCGTTTTAGAAAGGGAAAGATAACCTTTTCTGTGTAATCTATTCGCATATACAAAACCCGCATAAGAAGCAACATGAAGTACAATTGTGTTGTTGATGATTTTTCGTGGTGTATCAGACACGCACGCACGCAAGAACATTTGTGGCGCCCTTCCTTCTCTTTTCCTTCGCCGAGCAGGGAGTTACGGTTGACACAGCCATGCGTACCTCCGTGCCAACAAAAATCAGAAAACCGCTGAAGCGTACTCAACGACCGAGGTCGAATGCGTCTGTATGACGAAGCTGAATCCCCTCATAAAAGTTCCAGGAAATAATAATAATAATGATAAAAGAAAGCTAAAAGTTAAAACAAAATTTAAAAAAAAACCTAAACTGAGAAAGCTACAGCACGTGGGGGGAGGGGGAGGGGGAGCGCAAGAAGAAGAAAAAAACATGGTGGAACAAACACGAAAAAAAGGGAGCATCTGACGTGTTGAGATGTGTGTGGGGCGCACGTTAAGGGCACAAGAGAGCAAGTGAAATGGAAGAGAAGGGCAAATAGTGATAGTAACAGTAATAATAACAGCAAAGAAAAAAGATAGAAAAAAGCTAGACACCACCACCATTCTCACTTGAAAGCTAAACAGGAAAGCAAAGGAAATACGCAACAACAAAAGGGGACGAAGAAGAACAACAGCGTTTTGCGGAACCGCGACCCAGAAAAGTGTGAAGAAAAGACCTAAAAAAAGGGAGAGTTTGATGTCACCAAAAAAAAAAAATAATTAAAACACAAAAAGAATAAGTCAACAGAAATAAAATGTAGAGAGAAGAGCGAGAAACGCTTCGGGGGAGGGGACGAGATGAGACGCGACAAGAGACGGTGTAATGCAGTGCCAGAAGAAAAAAAAACGGAGGGAAGGAGAAAGGAGAAGGCGTGATTTCTCCTGCACCGGCTGACGCTTTCCCCCAAACGCAAACGCAGACAAAACACACCAAAACCACAAGAAAAGAAAAACGAAAATGAATTTTAAAAAAGGAAAGGAAAGGAAAGAGAAGTGAGCAGTCTCGTAGCGAACAAAATGAGGAAAGAGAGAAAGACGTACCGCTGTTGCAATGCAGGTCGTTAGACATGACGCGCCATGTCACCTTAACAGAATGGTAGAGAAGAAAAAAAAGAAAGAAGATAGAAGTGTACCACCTACAGATACGAATCAGCATAACAAAAAACACCACGCCAAAAACGAAACAGCTGCACGTACGGAGAACATCCGAGAAAAGGACTACGCACACCAACAAGAAAAAAGAAATGGAAAGGTAAATTGACGAGAGACAGCACCTCTACGGAACAAGGTGTGTTACGTCACTTACCCTGACGTGACGTTCAAAAACAGAAGCATCAGTTTCACAGCCGCCTTGCTGCTGACTTCATCATTGAACTTCGGCCCACCAATCATGTTGGCAAGGAGGAGGGAGAAAAAAAAAACACGAGTCGCGTGCAAGGCAACTACATAGTGGAGCGAGACCACATGGCTGCACCGTCACCCCTCACAGGCACACCAACGCCGTTTCTCGTTACGCGGCTACCGGCGTCGGCGCTGTAGCGCTTCGTCTCTCCCTTTTTTGTCTCTTTTCGCATCGACAGCTTTCACGCCGCGTCGGAGTTAAATATCATCGAGACCGGCACACAACGCAGCTTGTGCTCCGGGCTAACGGGCGCCACCGTCAATAGCTCTAAAAGCGCCGTCCTTGTCGCTGGCAGCACGGTGCAGTTGGCCTCGTTGTTGCTCGCCGCCAGGGCGGGACTCTCTTGTTTCGCCCCGTCATTATCTGTCTTCGTCTCCGCCGCTTCGTCCAGGGCAGGTCGGCCGATGACTTTGCACATCAGCTGATCCTCCGCCGCTGCATCCGCGACGCCCACGGGGTTGCCGTCGCGCCGGCGGCCCGAGGCGCTGTACGAGATCGTCTTGGCCAACTCGATGCACCCGACGTAAATGGGGAGGTAGTATACGGTGAGGGGTTGAGCGGGGCGTCCGGCGGCATCGGGTGGCAGCAGCGCGTTGGCATCCACCGGGGTAAAGTACGCGTTCACGTAGCAGTACAGCTGCGTCAACAGCTGGTACGAAAAGGTGGTGCGGTCCTCCGCCTTGAAGTCCACCGTTAGCATGTCGTAGATGGCTTTCAGCTCCTCGAGCCTGCTATTCTGCAGCAGCTCCGTGCACACAGGGTACACTCCTAGTCGCTGCAGCGCCGTCTCCACGCACACCGGCGACGACGCGGACGAGTCCCACGCGTTCTGCAGTCCGCTCGTTGTTGTCGCATTCGCCTCGCCGTCCTTTTCTGTTGTGCAACGCGATCCGGTGCTCTCGGTGCCGCGTCGACTTGACTCCCCAAGGCGCCGCTTCGCACACAGCCGCCGGTGCGTCGTGACGACCATCAAAAAGAGCCGCACCGCCATGGCGGTCATCTCCAGCGGCAGAACATTCAACGTCACCGCCGCTTTCGACAAGATTCGCGAGCGCACGTTATCGAGCGCGACGCGGTGTTTGATTTCTAACGGGCGATAGAGGCTGGCGCGCTGCTCGCACTCGGTGCTGCAGTACTGCGTGTTCTCCTCCGGATCGGCGCCAACGGGGGTGGACATCGCAGGCGAGACCACCGTGGACGGCGACGTGTGCGCCGCCTCGAAGCCCGAGGGACCGCCGGAGCAGCCAGAGCACGCTGCGGAGTCCACGTTGGTCACGGGGGTGTTGCTGCTCAGCGTACGAAAGCACACGGCGCAGTGGTGCATCGGCCCCTTCGCCGCGAACACCGAGTGCGTGGCGACGATGGGGGTCACCTCTTTGCAGATCGACACTCCGGTGGCGGTGGGTGCGTTGACACGCAGCCGCTTACGGTACAAGCTATCTAAAATTAAGTAACAACCCGCCCGCTCGCTGCGCAGCTGCGACTGCAGCGAGTACATGTACCCGTTTAGCTCCTTGATACGCTCCACCTCGGAGCTGTAAGGCAGCATAATGTACGCGTGGGCGATCGCGACGGCTGCCTCAGTGAACTGCCCTAGCCCGCAGTGGGCACGCGCAATGCTCAAGTGGCTTCGCACCCACCGCGGCTCTAGCGTGACAGTGGTGCGGGCGTCCTCCAAGGCCTCGGCGTACCGCTCTAAAAATATATAAACGCGGGAGCGCAACACAAAGGCGTCCACCACCGAAGTGGAATGCGCTTTTCGCGCCCTGACGCCCTCCCCGCTCTTAAAACTACTCGCCGCTAAATACGCGTTGACCTCCGTCAACGCCTTCTCGTAGTTGCCTTGAAAGAAAAGCTCCTGCGCCTTCTCTAGCGCCGTGCCGCGCAGCTTCTCGGCATCGTAGGCCGGCATCGCCTCGTAAAGGTAACGCCGGACGACGACGGTGGGGCCTGCGGGTTGCGCCTGGCCGCTTCCGACAGCGCGAGGACCCAGCATCCCATAGGCGCCCGAGCAGAGGCCGTACGACTCCCCGTGCCGCGGCGAGCTCTCATATGCTTCAACCGGCTGCAGCGACAGGCACGAGGTCGGCACGCACAACGAAAAGTAGAGGTCGGCCGCCTCATTGTGAAAGCGCACCAGCGTCATGAGGCCGGTGTGGCGCACCACTGTCCCGCTCAACCGCCCGTTGCAGATGGGCGGGTAGGCGGCAGTAAAGTAGCAATTCAACTGCGTCGCCACGTCGTCCTCATCCACAACCCACACGGTGGCGCCGATGGGGATTTGGTCCTGCCGCAGGCACGGCATAACTGGCTTGTCCTGAAGAGAGCTGAGATCGAAGATGGGGTCGGGAACGAAGAGGAAGCCGTCTTCAGCACCGTCGTCGTCCGTGCCACCGGTTGCGACGTCGCCTAAGTTGCACATCGCCAGCTGCGGCTCGCCGCCGTGGAAGGTGCCCCACGCAGAGTCAGACGAGGACGTTGAGGACGACGTCGCACTCCGTGCCGGACGTGCGACGTCACCGCCTGCCCCCTCGCTCTCCTCATCGCTATCGACGAAGCCGTCGCTGTCGCATTCCACGTGCCGCCGCCCTCCCGCTGCTGCTGACGGTGTACTTCGCGTCCAAGTAAGTGAGTTGGCCACCCTTGGTGGTGCCGGGGGGACCGTGGAGAACTGCTGCAGCGCAGCGCTAAACATATCGAGCGAGGAGGTGACTGGGTGCGCACTGCGGCCCCCGCCTGCGGGGGGGAAAGACCGCGAGGAGCACGAGCCGCTTCTATCGAAATTATCACTCATTGCTAATTCGTGAGGAGGGTCAAACCAGCAACTACGAAAAAAAAAAATGCGCCTTGCAAATCCAGCAAAGCAGAACAACTGGAGTTGTGAAGAAAAAAAGAGCACGAAAAAAACAATGCAGAGAAAAGTTTGGTGGCGTGACCGTCGAAGTCTATTCCTGCCGCCGCTGCCGGTATCTGTGTGAGGAAACGGCCCTCACTAGCGTTCCGGCTAGCCCTTTTCCCCCTTTGTGTCTGATGACCGTAAGAGGAGAAAGGGGCAAGTAAAGATCTTTTTAAAAGGAAAAAGAGAACAAATCAAGCCAACAGTACATAGAGAAATGTCTTCAAAAAAAAGGAGACCTACCTTCCGCGATCCCCTTACTGTCCGCTCGAATTTGATGTTTTGATTCGGCTTTTCCCCTTTGTCACGGTGCTTCCCACTGCAGCGCAATACGAACAGAGCAAAAGAACGCACACCGCCGAAACGCAATGATCTGAATAACAGCGATAGATCTATCGTCGCCAGCAGAAAAGAAAACCAAAAAAAAAAGAAAGCAGATGAGAGAAGAGAAAAAAAGTGACGAGAAGGTATTTTCGATACACAACGTTTGGAAGCGATACAAATCCACCCGTGAGAAGGGAGGAAAACGATCTGGAAACCACAGCCTGGTGTTTTCCCTTTGCTCTTGCTGTTCCACGAATATGAGACTACGGAAGAGCTGTGTACCGAGAACAAGAAAAAATCCAGACCGATTTGGGAATTAGAAAAAAGTGGGACGTCGTATGAGAGCGTTTCGAAAATATTCATACAGATTCAAAGAGAGACAAAGAGAAGCGCAAAGTGATGCTGTCGATCCTCTTCTTCCTCTCTCGGGCAAGTTTGAGCGTGGAAGCTATAGCTATAGTGTTGTTGTTGGTTTTTTGTTTGGATGTCCTCTATACGTTTTTGGTGGGAGAGTGGAAGAGAAGCCGCCGGTGTATGTCGGCTCTAACGTTAGCGAAAGCACAACAACAACAACAGCAAAAAAGGTAGTTTGTTTGTCTCTACCTGGTCCACGGAGGTGGGCGGAAAGGAAAACAAAAAATTGAAATCAAAGAATGATACAATTTGGCGCGAGAACGATGCGTTGACCATCCAGGCTCCTGGTCAGGAAGTGTGATATGCAACCTGCTACCTCGTCGGCACCAGCGTGCAATGCGAAAAAGCGAAATAGCGAGGGGGAGAGGGAGAAGAAGGGAGGGGGATGAAAAGGAAAAGAACGGAAGGAGGGAGGGGAGAAGGGAAAGAAGTGGAAGAAATGCGAACACGTAAACAGCGCAGCGCAGCCCTTTCTGGTTGCTCTTGCGTGTTTCAAGTTTATCGAAGTGGGCAAAATGCACTCATCACCTCGACGCCTTAATACAACTAATAAAAAACGCCACGTGTGCAGTGAGCTTTAAACCGTCAAAGACGTACAAGGCTCACGGCAAGAACACGAGAGCAAAAACAAAACAACGACTGTCGTCAGAAAGTTCGCTTTGGCTGCTGTTTAAGTGGCGCGTGTTTCCGCTCTCTTCTTTGAGGACTTGATAGTTGAAATGGAGGGTGAAATACTGTGTGAACAACAAGTGCAGCGATAAACAAAAAAAAAAAGAAGAGATATATGAGCAAAGAGAACGGCCATCACCGAGAGATCCTCGCGAAGACTCGCGTGTGCCCTCGTGAAACCAAGACGCCGTAGACGCAGACGATGTTCGAACGTGTAGCGAGATCACTTCATAAATGTGCTGTGGTTTGCATATGTTTTTCCTTAACCCAGGGGCTGCGCGGCATACCGCTAAGCCGGCACCCGTGCTCTTCTTTCCATTTTCCTATTGTTAGCCACCTGCAACAACGGTGAAATGATCCGGTGGCGGCCTCACGGCACGGAAGAACACCTCCGGAGGGCTGGGCACGACCGCATCCAGCATCGTCTTGTGCTCCGCTGCCGCAATAAACACCACCGCCGCCGCCACCGCAGAAACCTGCAGACCAGCCTTGTGCAGTGCGTACGCCTCTAGCAGCTCCGCCCTATTCTCCTCCAAGTCGTGGTAATAACCGGTGCGCCGCTGCTGACGCGTTGTCCGCTCAAAGGTGCGCTTGAACATGAGGTAGAAGACCGTGATCACGAGCAGAGCGTAGAAACGTAGGAGGTGCCGGTTGCGCGTGGGCAGATCGGCGCTGTCCGCCAGCCGATCCGCCGCGCGCTGAAATCCAGATTTCTCGTTCTGCTCCCTCTCCTTTAGCACCGCCCGGCGACGCAGCTCTGCTTTCATGTCGGCTTGCGCGGCAAACGAGGCGTAGTGGGGCTGGTGCGCCCGCAGCAGCGGACGGTCCATCTCTACCCAGCTCTGGTCATCGCGGCTTTGATACAAATACTTGCCCTCGGGGGTGCGCCGCTCCGTCGCCGGGTCGAGTGCGCTGACCTTCTCCATCTCCTCGTCGCTTAGGTAGGATGACGATGACGCACTCGTGCCGCTCGGCTCCGTGGAGAACTCTTGCTGATCGACGCTGAAAGGAGCTGCTGCGGTCTGCCGTGGGGGGTGGCGACGACCCTCCGCGGTGACGCCGACAGCTCCGTTGGCAGTGCTAGACACCCCATCCTTCGGCCCCGGCAAGTGCAGCCGCTCATACCCGCCTTCCTTCAGCAGGAGCTTGTACGCGTGGTTCACCTCCTCCATCTTGACCCCGTCACCCGACTCGGCATCCGGGTGGTACACGCGGGCGAGTTCACGGTACTTCATCTTCACCTCCGCCTTCGTAGCCGCGCGACTCAAACCGAGTACTTTAAACGGGTCCCGCTGCGGTAGACGCCACCACCGCGAGTAGCGAATCATTAATGCGCTGTTGATGTAGCACACCTGCTAAACTGCAAGACGCGGATGGCGGGATCTGAACCGAGATGCGTAACAGGAAGAGAACCCTCAGACTTCTGCCTCGCAACACCACAGCGGAACTCGCCGATTTATTGATTGTTGATGCTGCCTCCGCACTTTTCTATTGCCTTTCAGCAGAAGAGACCGTCTACGTACTGGCCCGAATCGTGAACGACGAACGGCCAGAAGAGAAAATAACAACAACAATAATTCAAAATCAAAACAGAGAAAAGTATTACGTGAAGAGGAATCAGCGAAGAAATTCTGTCACTCACAAAACAGTCCGATACCATCATCTCTTCGAGATATAGGAGAAAGCTTCCATTAAAGCGCCTATCCCGCACAAGAGATTACCAGCAGAACTATTGAAACACTGTTGTGTTCGAGTGGGTTTTAACTTCATTTTCTTTTGTACCACAACAAGCTTCTTCATTAGCAGCTCCTTATTGGGGTCTATAGGGAGCTGCCACCTTTTTTCAGGTACAATCGCCGTTGTGCTCTCACATCAAACGTACTCTGGTGCACAATCATATTCGTTTTTTTAAGTTCTGTAACTTATCCGACCAGGAATGTGAAGTCAGCGCTATTAAAGACCAAAAAAGAGATGAACCGCTGTTTATCTGCGTTATACACTGGTCTAGATGGAAAGAAGTGCCGCGCACCTCCTTCCATGATTCCACGGCAAAAGAAAAATAACAAACGAACAAAAAAAATAAAAGCTTTTGCAACACACAGAAACAAAAGAGAAAGCGCATCATTAAAAACATAGCTGTTCGTGTGCTGCTTTCACTCTGTCGAACGGCGGACTACAAAAACAAGAGAAGGAGTTGGCGAGGCGTCACACAACTCACGCTCGACATGATTCACTTCGTTCGCTGCCGCAAGAGTGACTTGGCGCATTGAAGAGAGGGCCAAGGCAGAAGAGGCAAAAAAAAACCCCAAACCAAAGCCGTCAATTGTTTGATTTGTTTGCAGCGGCAGCCTGCTCGTACTCTGTGCGACCGCCCTCCATCACAGCCTTTTGCAGCGCGTCGCACGCCGTCTTCACATCCTCCATTGATGCACTTGCGTTTGACAGCACCTTTTTCATTTCGCTCGAGAGCTTCTTGATCGTGTCTTTCTGTGCCGCATCCACGTACTTCCACTCGCCAAGCTGCTTATCGGCGATTGACATCTGCTGATGGGCGTTGTTACGTGCCTCCGAAAGCTGCCGCTTGGCGCGGTCCGACTCCGCGTGCGCCTCCGCTTCACGCACCATGCGCTCAATCTCGCTCTCACTCAACCCACCGTTGGCTGTCACCACAATTCCCTGTTTTCGACCCGTTGCCTTGTCCTGCGCCGTCACGTGGCAGATGCCGTTCGCGTCGATGTCGAACGTCACCTCTATCTTGGGCACACTGCGGGGGGCGTAGGGAATCCCCGTGAGATCGAACTGCCCCATCAGCTGGTTCTTCGATGCCACCTCGCGCTCACCCTGGTAGACCTGGAAGGTGATACTCGTCTGCCCGTCATCCACGGTAGTGAATGTATGACTCTTCTTGCAGGGGATCGTCGTGTTCTTCGGGATAATAGCCACAAAAACATCGCCAACAACGCTGGTGCCGAGCGACAGCGGGGTCACATCGACCAGAATCAGGCCCTTCACGTCGCCGCGCAGCACGCCGCCCAGCGTCGCAGCGCCGACCGCCACCGCCTCGTCGGGGTTCACGCCGCGGAACGGCTCGCGGCCGAAGAACTTCTTCACCTCCTCGACCACAAGAGGCATGCGTGTCATCCCGCCCACAAGCACCACGTCACTGATCTCCTCCAACTCCACGTCTGCATCACGTATCACCTGTTTGCACGACCCCAAAGAACGTTTGATCAGCTTCTCCACGATCGACTCGAACTTTGCACGCGAAATCTTCATTTCAACGTGCGCCGGACCATCAGGACCGTTGGTGGTAATGAACGGCAGGTTGATCTCCGTCTCCATCGCAGACGACAGCTCGCACTTCGCCTTCTCCGCGGCCTCACGCACGCGCTGCAGCGCCATGCGCTCCTTGCTCAGGTCGATCCCGCTCGTCTTGCGGAACTCCTCCAGGATGTAGTCCGACAGCGCAAGATCGAAGTCCTCGCCGCCAAGGTGCGTGTCGCCGTTCGTCGCCTTCACCGCGAACACGCCACCGGCGATCTCCAGCACGGAGATATCGAACGTGCCGCCGCCGAGGTCGTACACCGCGATCAGCGTGTCCTTCGTCTTCCCCATACCATACGCCATAGCAGCGGCAGTAGGTTCGTTAATAACCCGAAGAACATTAAGTCCCGCAATCGTACCCGCGTCCTTCGTCGCCTGGCGCTGCGCGTCGTTGAAGTACGCGGGGCACGTCACCACCGCGTTGCTCACCTTGTGCCCCACGAAGTTCTCCGCCGTCTCCTTCATCTTCTCCAGCACAAACGCACCGATCTGCGACGGCGAGTACTGCTTCCCGTTCCCGTCCTGCACCCACGCGTCGCCGTTCGCAGCGCGTATGATCTTGTACGGCACGTTCTTGATGTCCGCCTGGATGTGCTCGTCCTCGAAGCGGCGCCCGATCAGCCGCTTCACCGCGTAGAACGTCGACTGCGGGTTCGTGATGGCCTGGCGCTTCGCAGCAAGCCCCACAAGCTTCTCGCTGCCCTTGAACGCAACAACGGACGGCGTCGTGCGGAAGCCCTCCGTGTTCTCCAGCACACGCGGCTTGTCGCCGTCCATCGTCGCAACGCAGCTGTACGTCGTGCCGAGATCAACGCCGATCACGTCGCCCTGCACCTTGTCCGACGCGCGGCGCACCAGGCACGCAGCGGTGGCCGCGGCGCTCCCGCAAACACGACGAGCGAACATTGCAGCAGCAGCAGCAGTCGAACGAGGAGAAGGAAGTAAGGGGGGGGGGGCGAGGAAGATGTGTTTTCACTCGCTAGATATGTTTTCCTTCTGTTGGTACGCAGCCGTTTTTCTCCGTTTTATATTCTTAGGTTCTTGCTTTTTCAGTAGGGTGCATCGAGGGTACTATTGACCGATGGATAATGATAACGTCGTGTGGCGACTGGCAGCTCGTTGACGAGAATAACGGGGTGCGTGCGGAGTGCGGTTGAAGAAGAAGAACTCTTTCTTTATAGGTTGTGTAATTATTATAAGAACGTCGTCTATGCTGTTTAAAATTCTCATTATAATGCTTGCTGGAATGGTCGCCGCGCTTCGAGTACCCCGTGTAACAGACGGTGGAGGGCCGTACGTCAGGCACTGACGGCGGTTTCCCGGTTGGTTTTGGTAGATTGGTCGGTCCTTTCCGAACGGTTCGGTAGTGGCGAGGCACGGTTTTTTAAATAGTGACTGGGACACTGCGTGGAGAAGTCTTTTGGTATTCTGTTCTGTTGTGTTCGTCATACTGTGTGGTAACGTGGTCGATTGTATTCGGTGGATTGCGCTGAAGCTCGTTGCTTAACTTCTGCTCTCATCTCCACGTCCCCCTCCTCCCCTCCCTCCTCTTCCTCTCGCTTTCTCCCTTTCGGCTCCCTTCTTCTTTTATATGTTTACGCGCAGTACACAGGCTCCGCGAAGTTACCCGGCAGGGTTTTTCTTTTCTACGTAGTTCGTTTCCCTGCAATCTCGGCGTGCCTGTTTTTGAGTTAGTGCCTTTTTTATTCGAGAGAGGTCTTTTCAACTGCGCGACGTGCTAAGCAAACTGAATCTTCTTTTGGTTAGTCGCGCACTACCGTCAACAGGAAGTCCATCATCGTGCGTTTTCAGCTGTTTTATTCAGTAACCGTACAATCCAGGCCGAGATAAAAAAGACGGAGTCACCCTGCTGCTGCTGCTGCTGGTCGCCGGCGTTGCCGCTGCCGCTGCTGCTGCCGCTGTTCGCAGCCGCAGCCTGCTGGTACTCCGTGCGGCCGCACTCCATCACAGCCTTCTGCAGCTTGTCCGTCGCAGCGGACAGGTCGTCCTTCGACACGTTCGGGTTCTCCATCACCTTGCGCAGCTCCGCAGTGAGCGTCTTCACGTTCTCCTTCTCCGCGTCGCTCACGTACTTCCACTCGCCAAGCTGCTTCTCCGCCGTCGTCAGCTGCGTCTCCGCGTTGTTGCGCACCTCCACAAGCTCGCGCTTCACGCGGTCCGTCTCCGCGTGCGCCTCCGAGTCGCGGATCATCTGCTCGATCTGCTCCTTCGACAGCCCGCCGTTCGCAGTGATCGTGATGTTCTGCGTCTTGCCGGTCGCCTTGTCCTTCGCCGTCACGTGGCAGATGCCGTTCGCGTCGATGTCGAACGTCACCTCCACCTGCGGCACGCCGCGCGGCGCCGGCGGGATGCCCACAAGGTCGAACTGCCCCATCAGCTGGTTGTCCGCAGCCATCTCGCGCTCGCCCTGGAACACCTTGATCCCCACCTGCGTCTGGTTGTCCGCGGCCGTCGAGAACGTCTGGCTCTTCTTCGTCGGGATCGTCGTGTTCTTCGGGATCATCCGCGTGAACACGCCGCCGAGCGTCTCGATGCCCAGCGACAGCGGCGTCACGTCCAGCAGCACGAGGCCCTTCACGTCGCCGCGCAGCACGCCGCCCAGCGTCGCAGCGCCGAGCGCCACCGCCTCGTCAGGGTTCACGCCGCGGAACGGCTCGCGGCCGAAGAACTTCTTCACCTCCTCGATCACCCTCGGCATCCGCGTCATCCCGCCCACAAGCACCACGTCGTTGATCTCCTTCAGCTCCACGCCCGCGTCCTTCATGCACTGCTTGCACGGCGCAACAGAGCGCGTGATCAGCTTCTCCACGATCGACTCGAACTTGCTGCGGCTCACGTGCATCTGGATGTGCTGCGCGCCGTCAGCGTTCGCAGTGATGAACGGCAGGTTGATCTCCGTCTCCATCGCAGACGACAGCTCGCACTTCGCCTTCTCCGCGGCCTCACGCACGCGCTGCAGCGCCATGCGCTCCTTGCTCAGGTCGATCCCGCTCGTCTTGCGGAACTCCTCCAGGATGTAGTCCGACAGCGTCAGGTCGAAGTCCTCGCCGCCAAGGTGCGTGTCGCCGTTCGTCGCCTTCACCTCGAACACGCCACCGGCGATCTCCAGCACGGAGATATCGAACGTGCCGCCGCCGAGGTCGTACACCGCGATCAGCGTGTCCTTCGTCTTGTCCATGCCGTACGCAAGCGCCGCAGCAGTCGGCTCGTTCACCACGCGGATCACGTTCAGGCCCGCAATCGTACCCGCGTCCTTCGTCGCCTGGCGCTGCGCGTCGTTGAAGTACGCGGGGCACGTCACCACCGCGTTGCTCACCTTGTGCCCCACGAAGTTCTCCGCCGTCTCCTTCATCTTCTCCAGCACAAACGCACCGATCTGCGACGGCGAGTACTGCTTCCCGTTCCCGTCCTGCACCCACGCGTCGCCGTTCGCAGCGCGTATGATCTTGTACGGCACGTTCTTGATGTCCGCCTGGATGTGCTCGTCCTCGAAGCGGCGCCCGATCAGCCGCTTCACCGCGTAGAACGTCGACTGCGGGTTCGTGATGGCCTGGCGCTTCGCAGCAAGCCCCACAAGCTTCTCGCTGCCCTTGAACGCAACAACGGACGGCGTCGTGCGGAAGCCCTCCGTGTTCTCCAGCACACGCGGCTTGTCGCCGTCCATCGTCGCAACGCAGCTGTACGTCGTGCCGAGATCAACGCCGATCACGTCGCCCTGCACCTTGTCCGACGCGCGGCGCACCAGGCACGCAGCGGTGGCCGCGGCGCTCCCGCAAACACGACGAGCGAACATTGTTGATGACAATATGTGAGGCTTTAATAAAATAGAGATTGTAGTTCCCTTGAATAACGACGAAGGGAGATGTTTACGACTAACAGTTAAAATCCTTTCAACGTTGTGTGCCTTACACCTTAGCTTACGTTAGTTTCTGTGAAGAAGATGTCGCTGCCGTTGAGCAGTAAACACGGCTGAGAAACTGTGAAGTAGGAGATCGAAAATAGTTAATAATAATAATGTTTCTGTGAACAAAAAAGTGTGTTTCCTTATTTCTTACGGAAAGGTATACACGCAAATGAGCTAGAACGAACTGATCGCAGCGTTCTGTGAGGTAAGAGGGAAACACGGGCGCCAAGTGATACGGAACCGGGAGGGCGATGTTGGGAATTGTGTGTGATAATACCGGAGAAGAGAAAAAATTTGGTTACATCGACGGCACCGCGAGTTTCATGTGTTTCAACTTTTTGGGTGTTGCTGGAGCTGCCATGGGCTCATGGCGGTGTAATTGGAGTTGTCTGTTCACCACACGAGAGTGCGACCGCTACGTAAGTGCGTTCGAGCAAATGCATGTGAATAGACGCCTACTCACTTCTTGCAGATCACAGTGACTGCGACGGCAAAAGAGTCGGTGTCATTCTCAAAATACACGTCTTCGAGGAAGAGATCTTCAGTGGATTGCTTAAGATTTCTTATTATTATTATCAAGCGTATGTGTGCGGTAGAGAACTGTTAACCAATAATAATAAAAGAAACAAAAGAAAGATGTTATAGGAGTAAAATGTGTGGCAGAAGCTGTGTGGACAAGGAAACTAAAAAAAGGAGGTGCGAGGATCGTCTTCCAGCGTTATGCACTGTTGCTGCGGATGTCTACGTCCTTAGAAGACAAAAAAGAACACACGTGCGGGGGAAATTAGAGAATCGCCACGCCTCTAAGGACGCCAATCTGGGTTTCTGATACAATTCTAAGCAATCTCTCGTTAGAAAAAAACCCGTTCTTTGGTCGGGAACCTAAAAAGAGAACTTGCCCGCAAAAAAAAAGAAGCGATACTCCGCAGAGTGAATCGAGACACGACTCCGTAAACGACGCCGCAACAAGAAGACGGCGATGAGTGGACCTAATCTCTCGAACAAACAAAAAGGCATTACGAGGCGCCGACACATTCGAAACTAACTACTCAAATATGTATATTAAGCGTCTTTTCGAAAGCGATCTTTAGCGATGGAGCTGGTCCACTGTGCTGTGCTTGCACCCGTTATCAGGTCAGCGCTCCAATTTTTGTTTTATTCTTCTTTTTCTTTGATTGCTGAAACACGCAAAGCACTTCGTACCTTGGCGCCAGCGAAAAAAGGGCCCAAACAAAAAAGAAATCACCACTTTGCACGTTCGTTTTTTCCCTTCCCTCTAACGATAAATCATCCCAACAGCAACGTTGCTGAAGGGAGACAAAAATCCGTATCACCTCTGGCACACTTCGCACACATTTTCAGCTACTGCGTCGGTTCACGATACACTCCTTGTGATACACCGCCCCATCGCGAACCCGCAATTTAACGGCCTTTGTTTGCAGCTAAATATATAGATATATACTCCGTTGATTTTCGTTCGCTCACCGGAAAATGAAAATAAAATAAATAATAATAAAGAAACAAGAAACCACTTTTCTTAATTAGCTAAACCACAACGGTGGCAACAGGGCACCAACAAACCTAACGACAACTACAGGCAGCTACACAACAAAGGGCAAAGGCTCTTACCGCAATTGTTACATGGCCTTACACAAAATGAGCACGACATGAGAGCAGATGACATTCCATCTTTGCGCTTCTCAAGAGCACCAAATAACAACCGCGGCAAAGAAGGATGAAAGCAAGATTAACGGAATCAGGGGGATATCAACAGTAAAAACTAACGAAGGCTCTCTAAGAAAGCCCGCAGCGATGAGAAAGAGGTGTATCAACGCGTGGGAATGACGTAATGCGAAGTACAGCGGCATCGAAAGAAACAAATTGCTGTGCGTGTCACTTAACAAGCATCGACATCGCCCTTACATTCCACGCGCAGAGAACAGAAAAGCCGCTTCTTCACAGAGTGAGCGACATTTCCTTCATCGCTGTCATTAGCCGAAATTCACTACAGCACCTTTCCCTACTTCTTCTCCTCGTTCGACTGCTGCTGCTGCTCACCCTGCTGCTGCTGCTGCTGGTCGCCGGCGTTGCCGCTGCCGCTGCTGCTGCCGCTGTTCGCAGCCGCAGCCTGCTGGTACTCCGTGCGGCCGCACTCCATCACAGCCTTCTGCAGCTTGTCCGTCGCAGCGGACAGGTCGTCCTTCGACACGTTCGGGTTCTCCATCACCTTGCGCAGCTCCGCAGTGAGCGTCTTCACGTTCTCCTTCTCCGCGTCGCTCACGTACTTCCACTCGCCAAGCTGCTTCTCCGCCGTCGTCAGCTGCGTCTCCGCGTTGTTGCGCACCTCCACAAGCTCGCGCTTCACGCGGTCCGTCTCCGCGTGCGCCTCCGAGTCGCGGATCATCTGCTCGATCTGCTCCTTCGACAGCCCGCCGTTCGCAGTGATCGTGATGTTCTGCGTCTTGCCGGTCGCCTTGTCCTTCGCCGTCACGTGGCAGATGCCGTTCGCGTCGATGTCGAACGTCACCTCCACCTGCGGCACGCCGCGCGGCGCCGGCGGGATGCCCACAAGGTCGAACTGCCCCATCAGCTGGTTGTCCGCAGCCATCTCGCGCTCGCCCTGGAACACCTTGATCCCCACCTGCGTCTGGTTGTCCGCGGCCGTCGAGAACGTCTGGCTCTTCTTCGTCGGGATCGTCGTGTTCTTCGGGATCATCCGCGTGAACACGCCGCCGAGCGTCTCGATGCCCAGCGACAGCGGCGTCACGTCCAGCAGCACGAGGCCCTTCACGTCGCCGCGCAGCACGCCGCCCAGCGTCGCAGCGCCGAGCGCCACCGCCTCGTCAGGGTTCACGCCGCGGAACGGCTCGCGGCCGAAGAACTTCTTCACCTCCTCGATCACCCTCGGCATCCGCGTCATCCCGCCCACAAGCACCACGTCGTTGATCTCCTTCAGCTCCACGCCCGCGTCCTTCATGCACTGCTTGCACGGCGCAACAGAGCGCGTGATCAGCTTCTCCACGATCGACTCGAACTTGCTGCGGCTCACGTGCATCTGGATGTGCTGCGCGCCGTCAGCGTTCGCAGTGATGAACGGCAGGTTGATCTCCGTCTCCATCGCAGACGACAGCTCGCACTTCGCCTTCTCCGCGGCCTCACGCACGCGCTGCAGCGCCATGCGCTCCTTGCTCAGGTCGATCCCGCTCGTCTTGCGGAACTCCTCCAGGATGTAGTCCGACAGCGTCAGGTCGAAGTCCTCGCCGCCAAGGTGCGTGTCGCCGTTCGTCGCCTTCACCTCGAACACGCCACCGGCGATCTCCAGCACGGAGATATCGAACGTGCCGCCGCCGAGGTCGTACACCGCGATCAGCGTGTCCTTCGTCTTGTCCATGCCGTACGCAAGCGCCGCAGCAGTCGGCTCGTTCACCACGCGGATCACGTTCAGGCCCGCAATCGTACCCGCGTCCTTCGTCGCCTGGCGCTGCGCGTCGTTGAAGTACGCGGGGCACGTCACCACCGCGTTGCTCACCTTGTGCCCCACGAAGTTCTCCGCCGTCTCCTTCATCTTCTCCAGCACAAACGCACCGATCTGCGACGGCGAGTACTGCTTCCCGTTCCCGTCCTGCACCCACGCGTCGCCGTTCGCAGCGCGTATGATCTTGTACGGCACGTTCTTGATGTCCGCCTGGATGTGCTCGTCCTCGAAGCGGCGCCCGATCAGCCGCTTCACCGCGTAGAACGTCGACTGCGGGTTCGTGATGGCCTGGCGCTTCGCAGCAAGCCCCACAAGCTTCTCGCTGCCCTTGAACGCAACAACGGACGGCGTCGTGCGGAAGCCCTCCGTGTTCTCCAGCACACGCGGCTTGTCGCCGTCCATCGTCGCAACGCAGCTGTACGTCGTGCCGAGATCAACGCCGATCACGTCGCCCTGCACCTTGTCCGACGCGCGGCGCACCAGGCACGCAGCGGTGGCCGCGGCGCTCCCGCAAACACGACGAGCGAACATTCTTATCTTGAAAGAACCTGGAAGTAGGCTGTGGAAGGCGTTAATAATAAAGAGTTCGTTTTAATGAAAAGGGAAGCAGAGTACTCGTTTGGCGCGTTTCTTTGTTTGTATTCTGTGTGACGAGAACGGGGTAGAAAACCTACAAGAAGTCAATTAGAGAGAAAAGAAAAGAAATTATGTGACTAGCAAGAAAGAGGAGACAAGAGAGAGCCGAAAACCCCTTTCGTTGTTTGACGGCGCCGGTACCGAAGCAGAAGAAAAGGTGAAACGCAATACGACATTTAACAGGAAAGGTGTTCGCGTGGTGTGAGAGCGAAGGGTATGAGAAGAGAAGATTGAGGTACTCGAGTGCGACAGTGGAACAAGGAGACAGTGGTTGCGGAGGGCAGGATACCAATGTTTTCATTTTGTGACTTGCTCAATAATCGTTAACACTTTTTCTCTGAGCTTCGCACCGTCTGCGACGTTGTACTAACGAGCTAACAACTGCATGTGTCGTCGACGGGAACACAAAAATCTGTTAGTTAGACTTCCTGTTGAAGCCTTTTCGTGTGATGTTTTACTTACGCAGATTTGTGTCGTCTTCAATCAAAGCAACCCTGAAGACAAAAACAGAAGGATCGTCTCAGCGGGTATTGCCACATCTCCGTCGGAGGAAATGCACTAGTGCCGAAACTGAATAAAAATAATAATAATAAAAGGGACGTTCTTTCAGACCCCTTCTGCCGCCGGAAACCTTCTACGGCTCAGTGTCCCTACGGTAGACGGCGCAGCTGCAGACACTGTGGGCGGTTTAAAAAAGAAACGCCCCAACGTGACAGATAGCTTTTCTCTAAAAAGCTCTCATCCTCAAACAAAAGCGATAAAAAAAGGGTGTTGCAGCAGCTTCACCGCCGTGCAGCGTTACGGTGCCGCATTAGCCGGAGTAGTAGTAACACGAAGAGTAGTCGAGGGGAACGAGTTCACCGCAACACATTTTGAGTGTGTGAGCGAGTGTGTGTACGTGTGTCGATTCAAAAAAGAACAGCGCGACAACGCGTGAGACGGAGATATCAGCGCAAATCCCAGAGACAAGATTATTACCCTCCCCCTCCCTCAACATTATGTGAACTTGTTGCCCTCCATTTCTTAACTCTTGCACTGCGAAAAATACTTAGCGACGCGTTTTGTGGAGTTTGTTTTGTGTGTTGTTGCTGCAGAGTTTTTACAATGGGATGCTGGAAATTGTCTCCTTCGCCTTCACCGTCAAGTAGTCCGCCAAGTCCTCCATGTCCTTCTCCGTCAGCCCCGGATAGGCGAGGACCACACGAATAATCACCTTGCCGTCTAGCTCGTGGTGCACGATCATGGCACGGCGCTCCTCCTCCATCGTCTCGAGCATGGTGTGGTTACGCTTGTTGGCTGCATCGTCCTCTCGAATGCGGAAGCACACGAGGCCGAACTTCGCCTCCACCGGGAACTCGAGCATTTCGCCGCCGCACTGCGCGAGCAGGTCGTGCAGGTACTTGGCGAGCGCGCAGTGGCGACGGATGGTGGCCTGGATGCCCTCCAGACCCATGTACTGCAGCGTCGTGTAAACCTTCAGTGCACGGAAGGGGCGGCCCATGCCCAACTGGTAGTCCTTGAAGTCGATCACCGCGTCTGCCTCGGTGTACTTGTTGGACAGGTAGACGCCAGTGGCGTTCAGCGACGACACAATGTACCTGCGATCGCGGAAGAAGAAGAAGGAACAGTTCGTCATGAGACTGAACCACTTCGAGCCGTTGATGAAGATGCTGTCGGCGTGCGCAAACGCAGGCAGCAGCGGCGCACGCATCTCCGGGCACACGGCCGTCGCCCCCGCGTAGGCGGAGTCGAGGTTCAGCCAGATACCGTAGTCCGCGCACACCTTCGCGATGCCCTCAAAGTCGTCCGTGGCGCACACGCCGGTAGTGCCGTAGTTCATGGAGGCGAAGCACGGAATGAGTCCCGCCGCCACATCCGCCGCGACCGCCGCGCGGAGGTCATCGCCGTGCATTGGGCAGTTGCCGTGTGCGTCGCGGCGCGACCGCACCTTCCGCAGGTGCCAGAAGGAGAGGATGCGGCTGGCCTTCTCCACACAGAAGTGGGCCTGATCGCTGATGTAGCAGACGAGCTTCGCCGAGGCGGTGGCCTTCTCGGCGGGCGTCGCGAACTTCTCCAGGGTGCGATTCTTCGCCGCTAACAAGGCCACCACCACCGCCTCCGACGCCGTCGGCTGCAGCACACCGCCGCCGGTGCTCTCCCACGTCATCTCCGCCGGCAATCCAAAGGCGCGGGCCAGCCAGTCCGTCACGATCGTCTCGAGCTCCGCCGCGGCCGGGCTGGCCATCCAGTTGAAGCCTGGCTGGTTGAAGCCGCTGGCCACGGTGTCGCCGAGCAGCGCCGCCGGAGAAACCTGCGCCGGGAACCACGCGTAGAAATCCGGGTGCTGCCAGTGCGTCATGCCCGGGACGATGTTCTTCTGGATGTCGGCCAGGATGCCCGTGAAGTTGGACTGCGGTGTTTGCGGGGCCGTCCTGTCGCTGATCGCTTTCTTGAGGTACCCCGGCTTCACCGCCGATTGCGCCGGCATCTCACGGTTCTTTAGCGCGAGGTGGTAGTCGGCAATGAAGTCGATGACACGGTGGCCCTCCTCTCGGAACCTCTCCCAGTCCATCGTCGCTGGGATCGGCGGAAGTGGCGGGCATGTCGGCTTCATCTTTGTCGCTGTGTTCGTGTGGTTGCGTGTCGTGTGCGGATAGGTGGCTTGTGAGAAGGTGAAAGCTCGGAGAATCGAGAAAACGAAAACCAACACGAGCGCAGGAGAGCGATAGGAAACGAAGACGGGCTAATTTGTCGCGATTGCCTGGTTGTCTGTGTGTGAGAGCGACTGTCGAGAACGGTAGAGCGCAGACGCGGTGAGAGAGAGGGGGAAAAGAGTCCGAAACGGAGGGAGAACACAACGGAGGGGGGGGGGGTGGAAGAAAGCGATATACCACCGCACCAGCCTTTCAACCGTTCCATAGAGTGCTAGGAGAGCCACAAACAAAGACAATAATCCTCATCATAATACGAATACTAATAATGCGAGTCGTGGAACTATACGAGCTTTAGAACACCACAGCACCGCAAGGTTTGTTCTCGTTAGCTAATCAGGTCACCGCAGCATCGGTGCTAGAAGGGTAGACTAAGGCATCTCGGGGAGGGGGGGAAGAAGGGGCAGCTGGGCATTTCACACGATTTCCTCTTGGAATATTTTCTGAATTATTGACTAGCAAAGAAAAAAAGGGCACTGCAGCGTCTGCACAGTGAGAGCGCTGCTAACATGATCTAGTGTATGTCGAAATCTATATCTAGGAAAAAAATAAATGGAGCTAGACACTCCTCTCGTCTGTGGAAGCCCGCATAAGCGTCAAAATCCGTGCGTGAGAGGTGCAGCACGGAAGTAGTCTGGTGTGCTTCCGCCGTGCTGCGCCAATCGTCTGACAGCGCAACGGTAACCGTGCAAAATGAAAAACAGCAAAGACAACAGAAAAAGAAGAAACAAATGAAAGAAAGGACGGCGCGCTGGGGTTAGGCGGGAATGGCAACAATCTGCGAAGCGGTGCTCTTCGGCGAACCGAACGACATCCACACTGTCCCCTGCGCCAGCGTCACCGCCGTCACCTCCGAGTCCGCAAAGGCGGCGGCCGTAGACGGGGAGGAGCGGGCGTGGGTACCCGCCCCGTCATCGCAGCTGTCGAGGCAGTCCACAGGGCTCTGACGCGACGCCCGCAGCAGCGTCTCGGCGGACCAGTACACAGTCGGGTCCGGCACATCCGCCGTGTCAATGAGCGCCAGCCGCCCCGCCAGATCACCCGCGGCGATGCGCCCACGGTCCATCGAGACACACCGCACCGGCGACCGCCTCGTGCTCATGCCGAAGGCCTGCTCCCGCTGCGGCCCCTCCGTACAGCGCAGCGTGAAGACACGTCCACCGACAGTGCCCACGCACACCTCTGCGGTGTCGAGCGCCGCGCTTACGCACGTAATTTGGTCCGGAATGGAGAGAATGCAGCTCGGCGTGTGGCGGTAGCGCGTGTCGTAGAGCAGCACCTTGCCATCGTAGTTGGCCACCACGAAGGTGTGCGGGCTCAGCGGGACGGCGGCCACGGCGCGGCCCGGTGCGGGATTCTCCAGCGTCGTGCGCAGCTGCGAGCGCTCCACGTCGATCACCTCGGCGCCGCGCTGCGTGCACGTCAGCAGGCAGTTAGGTTGGCTGACGACCTCATGAACCGAGCGGATCGGCAGACCATCGGGTGTGGAGTAGCAGGAGGTCATGGCACGAGAGCGTCGGGACACGACGGTGACGGTGCCAGAGGAGGAGCCGACAGCGAAGAGCTGACCTGCGCTGAAGAAGCTCGAGGAAAGCAACGGTGCCTCGCCAATGTCATGGTAGGGGTAGCTTTCCACGCTGCTCGAGGAGAGGCCGACGGCTAAGTTGGCGCCGTAGAAGTTGTCATCTAAGTTGAACACGTGTGCGCCATTTAAAATGGTGGAGACGAGGCACGACGCGGTGGTGCAGTCGTAGTGGATGGAGGAGACTTTGCCGAGCACCTCCAGTCGGCACGCCGTCTTAGATGGTGGCTCGCGTGTGTCAAGCATGGGATCCCGGTAGTCACCGTATCTGTACGCTGAGGTGGTGGAACTGTGCGGCGCTGTTGGCGAGAGAAATGAAAAAGAAAAGGTATTTCCGCCTGCCGTGCGTGAAGCCGGCGCCTTCTTCTATATGGGAAGTGCAAAGAGGACCGTTGCCTGTTGAGTAACTTTGTATGGAAGGGAGCAGAGAAAAACCAAAAAGGGTAAGAAATTGATGGACTTCCGTGAACCACGACATCACGGGAAACGCGGCAAGCAGCTACTTCCTGACTGAGTAACAGGAGAACACAGAAGAAGAATAGATTTCTCGGAAGAATAACTTCAACGTTTCCTCGAGAAGAAAAAAATGATAGAGAGAGTTTTGTGCTCTGGCTTTCCCACAGCGAACGAAACATAATTGATCCACTCCGCTTTGCACAGTAGCAAACTGCTTGTTTTGTATGCATCGCTGCACACCGATTCTCGCGTGCAACAGCCTTAGTGTTTCTTTCACTTCTACCTTTTCTTCTGTTTCAATTCAAACTGTGATCACAACACCAGAGTCTTCATCTTCCCACGCGGGCGAATGCGTTAATGCGCACCCTTCGCCCTACCTCTTCAGCTGCTCCTTCTCTGCGCTACGCTGGCAGCGCAGCTTCATGAATTTGAAGGGGTACAGTAATAGGCCAATAGACACACCCAGCCCCACCGCGGAAGGAATGTGAATGGGACCAAACGCAAAGAAGCACTTGACGTTGAGTCGCACGAACTCGCGTCTTCGCAGCGCCCACGTCGGCTCGTTATAGATCGCCCATAGTCCAGGGTAAAACAAATGCGACGTGAAGAGGCAGCTCATGGCAGGGACCTGGGCCGTGAGTGGTCCGAGGTACGGCAGGAAGCCTTCCCTCGCCTTCGGGTTGGGGATGAAGGGTTCCACGAGAAGCCAGTACGCTGCCGCACTCGCTGCGAAGTTCACATAAAAGAAGTCGCTTATCATGCGCGGCACAATGGACTTCTTGTTCTCCTGCGTCAGGGACAGCTTGAGCAGCGGAGACAGGGGAATGGACACGCACAGCGGCACCGCGAAGAAAAGGCCGCACACGATGGTGCGAATCACGCGGCGGTACGCCGAGTACTCCCCGAAGGCGTCACCCTGAGCACCGCTGCTGTTGCCCGGCGGCGAGGGTTTCCCGCCGGTCGCGGACGGAAACGCGATGTACGCCATTTAGTTGCTTTGGTTGACGTATTAGTGTAGAAAAAAGAAGGGAGAACGGGGGAAAAAGAAGAACGAGAGAAACAAGTATGCGCATTTCCCGGCTGCGATGAGAGACCAAATATATACATTTGAGGTGAACACTTGCAAAAAAGCGTCGAACTACTGCCAGCATCGTGTCAACAAAAGAAATGGAAGTAACGCAGCTTGTGAACTTCTTTCTGTAAAACAAAAAAAACGCCAGTTCCTTTCATCCCGACAAATGCAAAACACAAACACACTCTGCGTGAAACTCCACTTTAACGGAACCGTGGACTTGAAAATCCAGTGGAAATACATGATAAATCTCTTCATTTAACTTAGCGGATGCCAGTTTAAACGCTTGTTATTCATACAGTTACGTGCGCGCATGAAACTCCAATTTCACGCGTCCTGTCCGTTCTTGCTCACTCTACCGGGGTCTGCGTGTTATGTGGCCACTGCTTGTACCACTCCACATCCTTTGCCTGAATGCGAGGCCGCACCTTCAGCAGCGCGGCGTCCACATCCGCGAGCGCCACACACGCCGCCTTCGTGTCTGCCGTGATGGCGTGAAAGGCGGCCTCCTTCACCACCGCCACCACCTCCGCGCCGGTGTAGCCTTCCGTCCTCTCCGCGACGTAGCCCGCGGTGAGATCCGCGGCAACGGGGATGTGCCGAAACTGAATTGCCGCGATGGCGAGGCGCTCCGCGCTGTTCGGCAGACCCACGTAGACCCGGCGATCAATTCGGCCCGGCCGCAGCACGGCACCGTCAATGCTGTCCGGCCTGTTGGTGGCGGCCACAAACACCAGCGCGTTTTTCTTTTCCTCGAAGGCAGCTGGCAGGCCGTCCAGCTCGGTGAGAAACTGCGAGATGACACGGTCCGACACCCCGCCGCGGCCGCGGTGCCCACACATGCCGTCCAGCTCATCAATGAAAACCACGCAAGGGCTGGCAGCGCGGGCCCGCTCGAAGATGTCACGCACTGCCTTCTCGCTGTCGCCGACCCACTTCGAGAACACCTCCGGTCCTTTGACGGAGATAAAGTTCATGTGACTCTCATTCGCCAATGCCTTGGCCAACATCGTTTTGCTGCAGCCCGGTGGGCCGTAGAGCAGCACCCCTTTGGGCGGCGTTAAGTTGAACTCGGAAAAGATCCAGCTCTGCTTCCCGAGGCACCACTCGACAACATCGCAGAGAGCTTGTTTTGCTTCCGCGCTACCGCCGATGTCGTCCCACGTCACGTTGGGCACCGACACCTCGAAGCGCTTCAAGGAGGAAGGATGCACCACTGCCGCAGCCGCACGCAGATCCGCGTCCTGTGGCGCGACGGACTGACGTGCGTGGAAGGCCTTCACGACGGCGGTCTCCGCAAGGCGGTTCAAATCCCGCTGCGTGAAGCCGTGCGCACGCTCGGCCACCTCTCTCAAGCACTCCTCGCTCACAACTGGCGGCGCGGCGGCCGCAGCAGCACCGTTGCCGCGAATCTCGGAGAGGCACGTGCGCAAGCACGCGAGGCGCTCCGCCGGTCCCGCCGGCATCTCCAACGACACCACGTGCCGGCCCAGTAAGGAAGCGCCGGTCAAACACCCGTCGAGGCTGTCCAGCGACGGCGCGCTCGCCACCACCCACACATCGTGGTGGTGCCGTTGCAGATCCAGCAGTTCTTCGGCGAGGGCATGGGCGACGAGAGACATGGCCCACCGCGACCCCGCCGACGACGTCTCGCGTGCGCAAATCAAGTGTAGGTCGTCCATAAGTACGACGGCAGGCGCGGACTGGCGGGCCCGCTCGAAGGCTTCGTGCAGCGCGGTGGCGGTGCTGACCTCGCTCCCCTCCCCTTGCGGTAGCTCCTCCACGCGCACCCATTCCACATGGCGACTGCCACCGGACTGCAGCGGGTTCAGTATTGTGCTGGACGGGTCAGGTAGAGTTGTTAGCTGCTGTTCTTGCGCTCCACACCGCTGCAACAGGCGGCTCTTGCCGGTGCCAGCTTCGCCCACCACCAGCGTACACCTTGAACCTGTTGGCTCAGAGGTGTCCACCGCACCAGCATCCGGTTTTGGGTCCACGGCAGGAAAAAAAGGCGGTCCAGCTGCGTCGTTCGTCTCTCCGTTCTCGATAAAAAGCGAAGTCGCATCCGTGACAACTCCCCAGGTGAGTGGAGTACAAGAGGTGGATAAGGAGGAACGGGATGGGTCCTGTGGGGCGTGCGTGGCGTCAGAGGTGATCAGCTTCACCACCTCCAGTGTGAGACGCTGCGTGAGAACACGTTGGGTTGTTTTGAGGGCCAGGTAGGCTACCTTGTGGTGCAGAGCGCGGCGGAACATCGCCTGCCACTCCTGCACAGATGCAGCGGCCGTCGACACAGCCGACGTCTGCGCCGCGCCGTGAGGATCTTCGGGTGGAACGGGTCGCAGCGTGACAGAAATGAGCTGCGGAAGCCCCTGCGGCGGAACCGCCACAGGAACTAAGCGGGCACGCCTGTCTACGAGAAGGGCCGCCGCGTCCTCGTTAACAAAAAGCTTGTCGGACGCCGCAGCTGCGCCGCGAACCTGCCGGGCCTCCGCGTACACCTCGCCGTACGGTGTGACTAGCTGCACGAGAGAGCCGTTCAGCAGGCCGAGCTGATGAAGCGCGCGAGACGACAGCAAACACTCACTCGGACCCAACGCAGCATCCACACCAATTTCCACATCGTGCAGGGACGCCGGAGACTGCAACACCGGTATCTTGGCTCGTTTGGGCACCGAGTTTTCGTTAGCCGGAGGGGAAGGCGTGTTCGCACTGGGCGAGGCAGCAGCGATTTCTGCTGGTCTGTTGCTCTTCTCTGTGGGCGGTGGAGAAGGTGCCGCAACAGCCGGCGCTGCGTTCCCGCTTGCCCGGGAACGGCTCTGGCGCCCTCGGGACTGGACGGTGGCGACGGTGGCAACAGCCGCTGCCTCCGCGTTCGAGTCAGGTGAGTCCGCTGAGGCGGCATCGGAGCTGCTAGACGGTGTCACGGCTCGGCGTGGACCGCCAGCCCGGTCATGAGCAGGGCCGCCTTGTCGACCGACGCGCACAAAACCGGTGCCATCCGCGTTGGGCCGGATAGGGGGCACTAATCGCTTCTTGGCGGGCATTATCGCATTGATGGTGGGTATGAGGTTGTTGCACCGCGATCAACGCGAGGCGCGAAACCGAAAGCGGAAAAATAAGTCAGTGCAGAAAAGAAAAATATAATAATGATAATTCCCTGCGAAGCAACAAAATGAGAAAAAGAGCGAAAATGAAACGAAGGATGAGTGCGGAAGAGAGGGAGAAAACAATCTGCAGAGTTTCAGGGCAGCTCCGTGAAGGCTAAACAGCCATTTTCGACGGCCAACTTTACAGAAGAAACGGCAAAAAAGGCGCTCCGTAAGACTGACAGCTCAAAGGGCGTCTTTCTTGTGTCCCGCACTCGCCGCAAAGGGAGGAGAGACCAAAAAAAAAAATCTCGATCGATGACCAGCCAAAATAGCATCTTGGATTGCTGCCTGAACGGAATAGATTCAACTTCGCGCCTCGTGAGGTCGTGCGGCAACCACCGCACTGCATCACGGCAGCAAATACCACCGCCGCGCTCTCTCATCTCAATGAACAAGGGAGGGGTGGGAGAGCAATCAACACATATGTTACGCGGACACGCGGCCCACCTTTGCTGAATATCTAATTTGTTTACTTCGTTCTCAACACGTTAAAAGCGAATATATAGATTTAGACCAAAACCCAAAGCCAAACGTCCACCACAAATAGCAAAAACGTATGGGGTCTACATCACCTCCTTGCACACAGAGAATCTGACAGCACGCCTCGCAGAGAGTCGATAAACACAAAAAAGCAAGGTGAAACCTCGTAAGGACAAACGGAGAGTCGAACGCAAAAGCTGCGGTGTAGTAACTCTACTGTTCCGCCTTATTATCACTTTGATGTCCTCCCTTTGAGAAAACACAGGCGACAATCGCAAAGAAACTCGGTGACAAACTTGAACGTCACTGTGTGGGCGCATTCCGCCTTGTCTCGGACCATCCAAAGGTGCAATACATTTTTCTTTTCTTCTTCATCCTGCAAACAGCCACCACAAAAAAAAAAACGGAATATTTTTTCTTTTCTTATCATCACCACGAGAGAAGGGGAAGTTATACTGGGAAACAAAATATATTTATGTTTTTATCTTTGGGCCCTACCACTCTTCCTGTCTTTCCTCATTTTGCCCCGCGGCGAACCAACGACGAAAATGAACCCTCACCGCCGCACGTGGAGGTGCGATGGAGCCTCCTTTTTTTCTAAATACTCCGCACCTTCCTACAGGACGTCCCTAGCGTTCGTTTAAGGCCTCCGCTCGTCAACGATTCACAGTCCACCACGCCAGGCAGCTGCAACATCCTTTTTGAGCGGCTTCAGTGGTAGAACGCCTCAGGAAGCATCGGAGAACGGCCGTCACGCACGCTACACTTTCGGAGAGGAATGCCTCCGCACCAAATAGCCAGCTTGAAGGCACGATACGTTCTCCTCAGACAAGCAAAGGCAGCACAAAGAAGACAAAAACACGCACCCATCAATACGACTTCATAACGCTCCACACGATGCACAGCGCCGCAGACCGAAACATAACACGTAAAAAGACAAAGGAAAAAAAAATAATAATCTGTGAGAGAAAACAAACAAAAACGTCTTTTGGAGTTTTTTGGGTTCCGTGGAAAAAAAGACATCACAGTGACGAAAAACAACGTTGAGAAATAGAAGGCAGCGTGTGTGTGTATATATAAGTAAAAAACCAGAGAATATGATCATAAAAGGGCAAATACCACTCATCACGGGTGCCCCAGAGACAAAAGCCTCCACGACAGAAATGAAAACCAAAACCAGGCGCCTCCTCCATCACGCCTGCAGGCGCCTTCATCCTCAAAAGCAAGAACGTCGTGGCGGACCATGTCAACGATGCGAAGAAAGAAGAAGACCTCAGAGAAGAAGAAGCGTCCCGCCTCCGTCAAAAAACAGAAGCATCAATCTTACTTCTTCTCCTCGTTCGACTGCTGCTGCTGCTCACCCTGCTGCTGCTGCTGCTGGTCGCCGGCGTTGCCGCTGCCGCTGCTGCTGCCGCTGTTCGCAGCCGCAGCCTGCTGGTACTCCGTGCGGCCGCACTCCATCACAGCCTTCTGCAGCTTGTCCGTCGCAGCGGACAGGTCGTCCTTCGACACGTTCGGGTTCTCCATCACCTTGCGCAGCTCCGCAGTGAGCGTCTTCACGTTCTCCTTCTCCGCGTCGCTCACGTACTTCCACTCGCCAAGCTGCTTCTCCGCCGTCGTCAGCTGCGTCTCCGCGTTGTTGCGCACCTCCACAAGCTCGCGCTTCACGCGGTCCGTCTCCGCGTGCGCCTCCGAGTCGCGGATCATCTGCTCGATCTGCTCCTTCGACAGCCCGCCGTTCGCAGTGATCGTGATGTTCTGCGTCTTGCCGGTCGCCTTGTCCTTCGCCGTCACGTGGCAGATGCCGTTCGCGTCGATGTCGAACGTCACCTCCACCTGCGGCACGCCGCGCGGCGCCGGCGGGATGCCCACAAGGTCGAACTGCCCCATCAGCTGGTTGTCCGCAGCCATCTCGCGCTCGCCCTGGAACACCTTGATCCCCACCTGCGTCTGGTTGTCCGCGGCCGTCGAGAACGTCTGGCTCTTCTTCGTCGGGATCGTCGTGTTCTTCGGGATCATCCGCGTGAACACGCCGCCGAGCGTCTCGATGCCCAGCGACAGCGGCGTCACGTCCAGCAGCACGAGGCCCTTCACGTCGCCGCGCAGCACGCCGCCCAGCGTCGCAGCGCCGAGCGCCACCGCCTCGTCAGGGTTCACGCCGCGGAACGGCTCGCGGCCGAAGAACTTCTTCACCTCCTCGATCACCCTCGGCATCCGCGTCATCCCGCCCACAAGCACCACGTCGTTGATCTCCTTCAGCTCCACGCCCGCGTCCTTCATGCACTGCTTGCACGGCGCAACAGAGCGCGTGATCAGCTTCTCCACGATCGACTCGAACTTGCTGCGGCTCACGTGCATCTGGATGTGCTGCGCGCCGTCAGCGTTCGCAGTGATGAACGGCAGGTTGATCTCCGTCTCCATCGCAGACGACAGCTCGCACTTCGCCTTCTCCGCGGCCTCACGCACGCGCTGCAGCGCCATGCGCTCCTTGCTCAGGTCGATCCCGCTCGTCTTGCGGAACTCCTCCAGGATGTAGTCCGACAGCGTCAGGTCGAAGTCCTCGCCGCCAAGGTGCGTGTCGCCGTTCGTCGCCTTCACCTCGAACACGCCACCGGCGATCTCCAGCACGGAGATATCGAACGTGCCGCCGCCGAGGTCGTACACCGCGATCAGCGTGTCCTTCGTCTTGTCCATGCCGTACGCAAGCGCCGCAGCAGTCGGCTCGTTCACCACGCGGATCACGTTCAGGCCCGCAATCGTACCCGCGTCCTTCGTCGCCTGGCGCTGCGCGTCGTTGAAGTACGCGGGGCACGTCACCACCGCGTTGCTCACCTTGTGCCCCACGAAGTTCTCCGCCGTCTCCTTCATCTTCTCCAGCACAAACGCACCGATCTGCGACGGCGAGTACTGCTTCCCGTTCCCGTCCTGCACCCACGCGTCGCCGTTCGCAGCGCGTATGATCTTGTACGGCACGTTCTTGATGTCCGCCTGGATGTGCTCGTCCTCGAAGCGGCGCCCGATCAGCCGCTTCACCGCGTAGAACGTCGACTGCGGGTTCGTGATGGCCTGGCGCTTCGCAGCAAGCCCCACAAGCTTCTCGCTGCCCTTGAACGCAACAACGGACGGCGTCGTGCGGAAGCCCTCCGTGTTCTCCAGCACACGCGGCTTGTCGCCGTCCATCGTCGCAACGCAGCTGTACGTCGTGCCGAGATCAACGCCGATCACGTCGCCCTGCACCTTGTCCGACGCGCGGCGCACCAGGCACGCAGCGGTGGCCGCGGCGCTCCCGCAAACACGACGAGCGAACATTGTTGATGAATGTCACGGCTTGCTTCTGCGGCGAGATCGAAAAAGTAGATGCGGGTTAATCTGTGGAGTTTATTACTGGCGGGGATTGTGGTCTGAGAGAATTCGAGTGCAAACGAACGTTTACAGCGATTCCTGTAGCGCGGAGATGTTAATAATCTGTATAGTGCAAAAGAAAGGAAAAAGAAAACAACGGTGATGTCCGGTACAATAGTGTTGGATTGCGTTGCATGTGTGTGGAGATTCGAACGCATCACCGGCAAACGAAGGAGGTTTCCAAGTTGAAAGCGCAAAGGTGAGAAGTAGAGGAAAGAAGTAAGCAGCGATGGGGTGATGCGTTTATCGATGTCATTTACGCTTCGCGGTGAGTGGAAAACAGGAACCGTTTCGGTTTCAGGAGGCTTTACTCTCAGAATGGTACGTGTCAGAAAAGAGCTTGGTTACTACAGCTGCACAAATGCGCAACGGAGGTAACAAACGGGAGCCATCGACGCAGTTATGTTGGCGTCTCGTCTGTTGTAAAATAGACTTCACAAGCGAACGTAATCAATGTCCTGTTCAGTCCATTGTCGCATTAAATTCTTTGAATCTTACTTGTTTGCTTTGCTTCCTTGTTGTTGTTGTTGCTGTGGTGGCTGTGTACCGCCGTTTTTTTATGTTTTTGCACGCTTGAGATGCTTCCCTTTTATTAAGTTTTCCATAAGAGCTGCTGAGAAAACCGCCGGCGCGGTGACACTGCTCAGTTATGTATTCTCTTGTCACCCGCCGTAGCCTTCGACAAAGCCATGTTATACTTCATTAACTCATGAGATCCAAAGGTGGTGATGAAGACAACAACAAGGGAGTCTGCCACAGAACTCGACAGAACCGCGACGATTGAGTGCTCACAACAGTATTATGGCAGGATAGAAAACACCTTAGGAAAAGAAACACACGCTATAGAGAGGAGGAACAAATAAAGAATAAAAATAGAACGCGAGCCGGGGTTTACTGTTGAACAGAGCTTAAGCAATACGCTGTTTCGATACACAAAACGGAAGACCTCACTCGATCCAGTTTCTCAGGCATTCAATTTCTCCATTGGTCTGTGAACCTTGCGATTATCGGAAAAACAAATACAGAAAAAAATACAGAACTTTGCTGCGTACACCATTGAAGACAGCAGCACATGAAACGGAATCAAACGAAGAATCCAATAACATTTCAAAGAAAAAGAAAAAAGAGAAACGCCATCATCATCACTTTTCTTCTGGTCAAACGGATAATAAAGTACGGGCGTTGTGCGCGGAGAAAACAAAGCGAGGCGGCGCATATTGTGCTGTACGGAATCGTATTAACAGCTCGCACGAGGAAAGAGAAGCACGCGGAAAACAAACACGCACACAAGAGCAACGCATCTCTCCAGCCCTGTCAGCCGGGCGGGTCCTGATAAGTCCACTTTCGTGTTCACGCATTGCCACCACACAGTGGGGGCAGGTGAGCACAGACTAATGTTTATAAGTGCAATAGAAGAAAAACAGAGCGCAGTTGACTACACAAAAAAGATCCGCTGCGGTGCACCACCCGATCGTTCGCCGTTGGCACCAACGTCTTCAGCAGCTTTATCAACTTGTACGGTTCTGAGAAAAAGAGGACGCAACGCAACAAAAACAAAGAAGAAAAAGAAAGATCGGTAACACTCAGCAAACTTGTCAGCTGCTCGTCTCACCTGTTTGAAGTTGATGGCTTTCGTCGCCCCCTTTCAACCCCGCCGTTCACCGGGAAACGCGGGAGAAACTACTTTCCCTTGTACGGCCTCAGAGATATTGAACGAGCAAAGGCCGCTTCAGTTGAATTAGACTGTAGTATGGCTCCACGTGCAGCTGGTGGTATCGCAGTACGCGGACCCAATAGGGCTCGCCCCCAATGACGGTGGACAGCGCCGACTGCGCGCGATGCAGATTCGAGTTCACCTGTGCGTACTGCGACAGAGCCGTGTAACAATAGTTGAAGACTGCCTGAATGCCGCTGACGCGATCAACTTGCGCGGTAACGTTCACCTCCTCGTTTACAGGGTCGAGGACGCTGAGTTGTGCGTTGGGGTGCTTCTTCGCGGTAGGCGTGCCAAACCCCTTCACGTTAACGGAGCTTTGGATCGGGTTGAAGTAACTCTCGAACCCGAAAGTCAAAAAGAAGTCCAGCAAGACGCGGCCAGCGTCCGGCACGTCAGAGGAATCGTACGAGTTCACGACGGCGAGCAGCATAATCGCCACCGCCTCGCCGCTCAGCATCGAGCGCGCCGTCCCGCCGTCGTCGAGGATTTTGTTCTGATTCAGCAAAGCTAAAAGTGTATTAAAAACGGCGCGGGTGACTGGGTTGGCCGCCACACGCACCGACAGCAGCGCACTCGTCTCCGCCAGCGCCGCGACGGCCTTGTCGCCGTATCGAATACAGCAGCGGTGCCCGGAATGGGAGTCGACGACGACGGCGCACGGCAGGTCGCGATCGTCGCGGATAAAGTTGACCTGCGCGCCCCGCTCATTCGCCGCCTGTATCCACTGCTGCGTCTGCTCTTGTGACGCGTCCGACGTGCCGGTGGCGTAGAAGTGCAAGGTGGCACCCTTCGTGGTGTTCTGCCCGGCCGCGGTGGCCCCGGCGGGCTGCAGGGACGCACCGGGCCACACCTGCTGGAGCACCGCCTCCATGCTGGCCGTGCAGGACCGGCGAGACGCCTCCTCCTCCGGCATCGGTGCGGTGAAGAGGTGGAAGAGCAGCACCTCGTCCGCCAGCACCGACGGTACCACGCGGCCGACGCACCACGGCGGCGACGGCCGGCACTCCTTCGCGAGAGCCTTCAGCAGAGGACGCGTGGGCAGTAACACGACGTTGTCTAAATCAGCAGCGGGGTACGCCACGGCGGAGCTCGGCGAGGCGTCGGACGAGGAGTCGGTAGCGTAGCTGCTGACGCGGTGGTGGCTGTTGTTGGAGCCGACCGACGCGTACGAGCCGCGGACACCGGTGAGGGGTGATTGGCCCCACAACCCGACCACACGCGGCGTCCCTAAGCTGCCGATGCGCGCGGGGCGGTAGGCGCGCAGTTCGCTGTCTCGGGGGCCGACGGCACCCTCGTTTGTGGCGAGCGGCGACGACTCGGGGATGTAGTAGGGGCAGTGCACGTAGCGGCCGCCGGCTGGCGCGTCCGTGGCGTGGGCCGATGAGCGCGTGTTGGCGCCGACGAGACGATAGTTGGGCTGCATCCTACACTCTATTCACTCTTTTTACAATGTTCGGCTGAGACACTGTTTTCAACCGTCAATTGTGCCGTTGGAAAACCGTTGCACGGAAAGAGGGCTGAATTGCACCTTCGAGGGTGGAGAAACGGCCTCCTCCTTTTTCAGGCCTTTCCTTCCTCTGTTCAACGTGCAGGTAGCCGGTTCCGCTTTCTTTTCCCCTTTTTGATCCACGCGAGCGCGTCTTTCAGGCGGCCCTCTTTCTTAGTTGGGCGCGCCTGCTTTGGTGGTAAATCCTGTCCTTCGCGGAACGCCCACAGAGAAGGAAAAAAAAAAGGGCGAGGAGGAAGGCGAAAGAACACCAAGACAGAGGGAGGTAAGAGAGAGAGAAGAGTGTCCCCATAGGTGAATGAGGCGCCGTTCTCAAACAAAGAAGAAGCCGTCTGACGCCTTTATTGTTTTCATCGGTCAATGAACGTTGGTGAGTGCATTTCATGGCCGCGCGCACCATCAACCCGACGCGGAATGGCGGACAGCTCAACAGGAGCACATTCGTTCATGTTGACAGCCTTGGAGAGCGAATTTTCAACGTCTCACTCACCCCGCTGTGGGTTCATTACAAGAAAAAAAAGCCTACGTTTCGTCTTACACCTTTGGGGATTTCCACAATCAAACAGAAAAAAAAAACTGTGCGAACAAACACAATTTGCTGTGACGGTGGAGCTAAACAACATCGATTGCCAGTGAACAAAGAAAGAGATAGGAAACGGTGAAAGAAAGAGAAGAGAACGTATCGTTGTTGTGCGTTGGTGATTCGCCACCGCAGTACACGACGCGTGGGTTCGAAAAGAAGTACAAAGCCAAAACAGACAGAAGTTGCGTACATCGAAACAAAGGAAAGGAAAAAAACGAAAACGAAACATCGAGAGCAGATTTGAACAACGACAGAAGCACGTTCGAAAAGGATCTGCCCTTTTCGGTCCTTCCAGGGTACAGGAAAGAAAAAAGCCATCTATAGTACATAAAAACACCAATGTAAGCTGGTGAACCTTGCGGTGCCTTTCACAGGCTGGAAATGACCAGCTTCAATTAAAGCACACAGTTCTCGGGGGTGTTCTGCTTAGTGCGACGAATGAGCGGAGCCGCACCAATGGCACGCACGATATCGCTCAGCCGAACCACAATGGAGTCCTTTTCCAGTGCCGAAGCCGGCCGATTGGGTCCGTTGCCATCCGCTGCGCTTGCCGTTGTGCTTGCCGTTGGGGACGGCGGTCCTTCGACGAGGTCTTGCTTGGCCGACGCCGTCGCCGCGTTGACGGACAACTCGCGCACCACAACTTCAGGCGTCAGCGGCTCCACTTCTAGAATCGCAGCGGCCACATCAGCCAGCGTCACCACGCGATCGCCCGCCTGCAATGGCAGCGGCGGTGGCGAGGACGATGCGGCCGTCGACCTGGCGCTACCCACCGCCCGCGTACTGGCCGAAGTCGCGCGAGACCCCATCGACGTCGCGCGTGCGCTGAGGGCGGACAAGAACATAACGTACAACTCCGCGCTGGCCCGGCACTCCTGCACGAACAGCACCTCCATAAAAGAGTGGCCGTCGCTGCAAAGCGTGTCGACGCTAAAAGTTGTCTCCCCGCCCAACGCGGCCCGCAGCTCCGCCAGCTCCGACGGGCTCTTCAGCTCTAGCACCGGCTGCAGACACTCACTCAAGGCCTGCCGACGCAGCCGGGAGCTCTGCAGGTCCTTGTTCAGTGCCCGCACATCCCGCTTCACTTGCGCCACGACCACCGCCGCATCGACAGCGATGCGGGGCGGCAGCACGCCGTGCACTGTCCACAGCAGCACGTGCAGCGCGTCGCCGAACCACTCGCGCCCCTCCCCGTCGCGGATCAAATTCATCATAAGGTGCGCGGCGTTGTCGTAGTCTTTGAGGTCCTCGCGCGTCGCCATCTCGGACTGCAAGTACTCGTAGAGACACGTCGCGATGCGGTCGCCGCTGCCGCTGCCGCCGCCGCTGCCCTCGACCGCGTCGTCGTCTCTGCGGCGCAACTGGTCTTGCTGATCCATGTACGGCGGCAGAATATCCAAAAAGAAGTGGTACACAAGAGAAACGATCGTGGACGACGGCACGGGGCGCCTCGGCACAATGCCGCTCGCCCGCAGGTACACCGGCACCTCGGGGCCGTAGCCGAGGCCCACGAGGGGCAGCTCGAGTGGAGGCGCCAGCACCGGTATGAAGCCGCCGCCGTGGGCACCCATCGCCGACGCTTGAAATCCCTCACTGAAGCGGCGCAGCGCACGTCGCGAGGTGCGGCGAGCGGAAGTGTTCGTCTCCGACCGCGCCGCTGTGGTGGAGGCGGCGGATGCTGTGGGCCGCACGGATGCACTGTTCCGGTCTCTCCCCTCGCTGTCCGGCGCCATGAGAGGGATGCTGTTGCTCAGCATCGAACCTGCGCGCAGTTGGGAGCCCGCCTCCTCGATAATCTGCACGGCGGTCTGCTTCGACGGGGGCTGCGGCTGCTGCGACGGGTGACGGCGCTGCTGCTGCGCCTGTAGTTGCGCCTCCAACGTGCGCACCCGCTCCACCAAGTACTCCACCTGCAGCGAGGTTTCCCTGGGTCCTGTCACCGGCGGCAGAGACCTGGCCCCCATCAACGGCGCCGCCAGTGTTGCAGCGGCCTCTCCTGCTCCTGCTGCCATCGCCACTTCGTCGCTTTGATCGTTCGCCGTGGTGAGCTGGCCGATGTCCGCTACGTATTCCGCGAGCTCTGGCAGATCGGCGTGCAGCTTCTTCCACGACGGCCGCGGCGTGAGCAGCGCGCGAAACGTCAATGCAGGCGAAGCCGTAGCACCCTCCTCCACCTCTTCGGCCGCTTTTACAAAGCTGGCCCGCTCCTCTTCCATTGTGGTGAGTCGGCGTTGCATGACGTCCAACTGCGTCCCACGCACGGCGGCGGTGCGACGCCAACGCCGAGTTTGCAGCTGCGCCGCCTCCAGCTCCGCTGCGAGGTAGTCCTTCATGAGCTGGAAGTCCGTGACGGAGACGTAGTCGGCGTACTTCTTGCGAAAGAGCTGCAGCTCCGCCTGTGCCTCCCCGGCGATGCGCTTGAACTCGTCCAACTCGCTGACCTGGCCCGTCACGCCGGCGACAATGCGCTCGTACTCCTTCAGACGGCCATCGCACTCCCGCACAGCGCCGATCAGGACGACAATCTTTTCCAGATCGCCTTGGCTGCTGCGCTCGAGGTCGTGGATGCGCTGGTGCGCGACGCCAAGCTCGCGGCGCAGTTCAATGATGTCCGACAGCTGAGCGGAGAGAGGTCGGCGGTGGGAGGACTTCTGCCGCTCCTGCTCCTCTGCCAGCACACGCGTCTCCAGGGCGGCGTGCATTTTCTTCAACTCCGCCTGGAGGTCGGTGACTTGGCTGTTCAGCGTGGTCACCAGCTCCCGGTTTACGCTCCGCTCGACATCGCGCACCGTCATCGTCCCGTAGGCGTCCGTCAGCAGCTCCGCCTGCGCCTGGATGACGTTGTCGTACGCACTCTGAATGTCCGCGAGGAGTGAGGCGTACGCAGGGAAGGCGGAGCAGAGGGCACGGAAAGCCTCGCGGTAGGGGCACAGCTGATCCATCGCGCTGGGCGGCGACGTACCGCCACCACCGCAACTGCTGCGGATTAACTCCCGCTGGATGTACGACTGCAGCTGCGTGACGAGCGACGGCGCGGCCGCCTCGGAAGCGCGGGTCATGTTGCTGGCCGTGCCACCGAGTCCGCCGTTGGTGATGGTGGAGGAGAGCAGCGGCGGGCGCACGTCGAGCGGCGTTGGAGTAGCGGGAAGTGTTTTATGTTTCAGAGAGAGCTGCGCCGACGTAAGCGTGGCATTGCCCGCGGTAGGGAGTGCGCCTGCTGTGGTGGTGGTGGTGGTGGGGTGCACCGTTTTTGCGCCGCGTGCGTGGGACGACGAAGACGTTGATTTCATCTTTCCGGAGGGGATCGGCATGGTGCGCGCCGTTGCAGGCAAGAATTGTGTGCGCGAGACGTGCTGCGCCGTAAAAGACGGTGTCCAGGTACTCGACCCATCGGCGGCGGCGGCTGGGGGCGGTAGGCGGCCCCCGCAAGGAATGCTCTCCGTGTCCACACCTTCGCCGTTGTACTTCGCAGGAGAGATGTGCTGCTGAAGCGCTGTTTCCACTTTCCGTTGCGCTTCGTCGAGCTGGAGTAAACGGCGAGCGGAGGGGCCAATGCCGGAGAGCTCCTCCGGCAACGTGAGGGATGCAGACCAGGTTGTTTGAGGAGTGCCGCCGCCTTCGCTGTTGTTCTTGTTCTGGCTGCTGCTGCGGTGGTGCGCCGGCTCTGTGCCAGGCAAGGAATTGTAGAACTTATCATACAGGTCTAATGTGCTGCGTGGAAGGGGATCGAGGCAGCCGGAAGGATTTGGGCTGCTCAACGGAAAAGACGAGTTCTGGGCTGCGCTGTTGTCACGTCCGAAGCTCACCGCTTTTACGGCAGTGGGCAGCGAGGGGGAGGTGGAGTACTGCAACCCTGACACAGGCACGGTGTTAATGCGCAAGTCACTTCGGTGCATCTTTCGTTGCATTTCTGCAAGACAAAACGAAGAAAAAACGTAGAAAACGAAGGCAGCTATGTACACCACAATCAACTCACCTGTGACACCCGATGTGGAGAGCCGCGGAAAGAGGAGGGGGGGGGTGGGAGGTGAAGGACGTCGGAGCACCTTATCCTAAGTAAGGAAAGAAAGGAAAGAAAGGCGGAAAGAGGGAGAGCGAAAGGTGTGCAGCGAGGCCACCGAAACGTGAATGGCGTTGCCACCGTCGACAGCGCACCGCACATCTACGTCGGTGTGCAGGTGCGACGCCGCACCACACACACACACGCACATATATATGTATGTATAACAGACGTTAGGGACGATTAAAAACGGCCAGTTGAAAAAAGCTGAAGCACACGCCTTCAAATTACCGATGCACAGGCATTCGAGCACCCGAAGATCCTACGCACGCGCGCAACACACACCGCAAAAAAGGTTGCGAGTTTCAACATGGGGTCAGGAACAGAAATGCGTGGGACATTACAGTTTGCGTTCGTACATCGTTAGCGTAGCCACAGAAGAGGGAAGTTCAGGAAAGGGAAAGGAGATGCTGCTGGTGATCACCGCAAGAGCCAGCGTGTTGAGCACATACACGTAAGACAAGGGAGAAGATAACGTAGACGCTTAAAAGAGACGATGAAGAAGAACATTTGAAAGTAAGAAGAAAAAAACGACGTCCCGCCTGCGGCTCACAGAACTCGGTTCGGTTCCTCCGTGGTGGGCCGCTACAACAACAACGGCGCCTAACACGCAACAAACGAACAGACAAAAAATTATACGCCTAATATCGTGGTATTTCTATGGGAAGTGACCCGTTTCGGAGCCTTACACGAACTCGCATAAGCACAAACGAAACGCATACAAAGCCGCAAAGCAGAAGGGACGCAGTGCTTCACGAGACACAACTGAGGTTTACAGACACATAAAAAAAAAATACATATATATACGAACGATGCAGAAGCACATGAGAAAGAGAGGTGAAACTGTTGTGGAAAAAAACAAACGATGACATGTCGCAAACTGAGGCTAGCAACGCCTCCCAGGCGCACACTACACAGCAAAGGAACATTCTCGCAGCGAAGCACAGAAGACAAAAATGCTGCGTGAAACATACATAAGTTACACGCCTTGTCGAGGCACGTGCGGGGCATCGAGCAGTGCAGAGAAAAGCCTCACAAATGCCGGCTCGGCGAAAGTGCTTGTGTATGTGTGGTCAGGAGATACATGAAAAAACCCTACGGCCCTACTACCTTTTTCTGACGCACAGCTTTCCTTGCAAAAGGAAAAAGCCACTCCATCTTGGACGAAAACGCGGAACACAGCGTCTAGTAATGAACCTCAAAAATGGCCCACACGAGTCCCCCTTGGTTGGCCTGTACGAGGTCGATCGTCTCTTCAATATCGAAGCTCTGCGCTGGGGTGTTGGCGTCCGCCACGGTGTTCAAGCTAGCCAGACTCTGCTCCATGCCTTCCGGGAGAATCGGCGCCGTCGTCTTCGTTGATGCCCTCTGTGGCTCCTCAATCGCCGCCGCCTCCTGTTGATCGTCCTCCATTGCGCTGCGGTAGTTCTCCTCAGTGAAAATGCTGCTGTCCAACATCAGCTCCTTTGCACCGCCGTTCTTCTGCTTCTGCGGCAGAAAGGCGCTCTTGCACTTGTTGATGATCTCCTGCGGCTTGAGGTCTTGACGGCCGACGAGGTACACCTCGTAGCGGAACGGGGCGAGGGCTTTCGCCAAAGACGGATACACGCCAGCGGTCGAGCCGCCTCGCACCGTCTTCAGATTGCTACCGATCCACTGGAAAAAAATGACACGACGCTGCCGCTCTTGACCAGTGCTAAAGGACAGCCGAAAAAGGCCAAAAAGCCACGCGTCGTCGGGGAGGTTGCCCACCATCTCAAAGATGCCCTGACGGCCGTAGGCACGCACCCTCAGCGTCTGCGGATCGGCCTCGAAAACCGCCCAGTTAATGGAGCCGCTATCCTGGCGGAGCGAGTCGAGGACGCGCCTTGTGCGCTCTGAGTTGTCCATCGGCGTCATCGGCCGCTCCACCTTCGGCGGCGATGGCGGCGCTGCGCGAGGTGTCATCACCCTCACGTTTGGTCCGGTGTTGCGACGTCCGCGCTTCGCCACTGCCGCCGCCGTGCTCGCCTGCACTTTTTCAGAGTGCATCATCTTCTGCTCCTCGGCGAGGCGGTTGCGGTACTCCTGGCGGATCTGCTCCATCGAGAAGACGCCGTTGTCGGTGACGAAGGTGTCCTTCATTTGGCGCACCAACGAGTCGAAGGAGAGGGATGCCTTGTCGGTTGTCGAGAAGCCGGGGACGCCGCAGATGTTCTTCGCGGTGAAGGTGGCGATCTCGTTTATCCCCTGACCGCGCTTCACGATACTGCACTTCGGACCGATGTACTGGACGTAGATGAACTTGTTGCGCTTGAAGGTGCCGGATCCGACGGGGAACTTGGAGAAGAGCAGCTGCACCTTGCGTTCGTCAAGGTGCTCCAGGGCATTGTCGATCTCATCCGTGCCACGCCACACACACACCACACTCGGCATTTTTCCTTGTCGGCGGTGAGTCCTTAACGTTTATGGTGTCTTCTTATTTTTTATTACTACAAACTGTCGACGCAGCAGCACCGAAAAGAAGACCAGAAAGAAAACTTCAATACCACGGAGAACGGCCACAACGAATAGAGCGCCCCGCTCTCCTCTTGCCGAATGAAATGAAAAGAAAACAATGAACAGAAAGCAAAAGACGGGAGGAAGGGGGGGGAATAGGGGGGAGGGGGGACGAACCACACTATGAAATGCGGGAAGAATTTCGAAACCAATTTAGGCTGGAAGAAAAGTAAGCGAACAATGAACAGACTAAGAGCAAATGACAGCACGACGAAAGCGGACGCCGCAGGGCCGTGAAGTGAATCGTGCGAGAACGTGCGCCGTGCGTGAAGTGGCAAGAAATAGATGAAATTTCGTTTTTCAGAACGACACGCGGCAACAGCAGGCAGACCAAACAAGAACTCAGAGCACAAAAGGGAATAAAAGCGAGGTGAACGCTTGTCTGCTGTTTTAAGACACGAATGAAGAGACCAAGCTATTGAATATTACGCAGCTTCTAGTTTCACGACTGTAATGCACATCACCGTGCGCTTCATGAAATCACCTACGGGGCCAGTTGGTAAACTCTCAGAAAAACAAAAAAAAAGCATTTACAAAAGGGAGAGGCAAAGAGAGCAGGCGTGGAGAGTTGAAGATGAGTAGACCAAAAGCACCTCTAGATGTCAAGTTAGCGAAGGCGACGACATCGCGAAAGAAGTCAGGCTTCTCCCTCTTCCTCGACGTCTACGGCATGTGACGCGCCTCCGCACAGAGTGCGATGCAGCTGGCAAGGAAGAGCCGTATGAAGAGAAGCACACTCATTTCTGTTCATTCAACGATCTTCTATAACGACCCTCCTTTGGGGCAGTTAAGCTGTTGAAGCAAGAAACAGAGGGGGGCTGCGGAGCATGCAAGAAAGAAAGAAAAGAAAAAAAAAGTGCCTCACGCAGGATTACTTGCGAAGATGAAGTGCTCGTCCTCACGGTTCATCTCCCCGTGCGTGCATTTCATGCGCAATCCTTCCGTCTCTCTCTCCCCTCTCTCCCCCTCCCCATTTGTTAACGTTTGTTGCCTTCCTTTCCTTACTCTGAATCGCTTCCCGAAGGCACAAGCATCACCACACAAACTCGAAATCTGGAAAACTGTTGTCCCTTACACGGAGGAAGAAGCACCACAAATTGTCCGTAGCCTTGCGAATCGCGCACACACACACAAGAAAAAGGCTACAGAAATCAATTTAGGATTCTCTTGTCCGCTATTTATCACTTCCGCGCTCTTCTCCCATCCGAAACACACACATATATATATATATATATATATATATATATATATATATAGATATAGATAGAAATGTCGAGATACCTGACGTCTACTTCGCAAATCAAACGCAGGTGAAGGAAAAAAGGGAGTTCAATAGCAAAGGACAAAACATCAGCAGTACGAAAACCCAGAATGTGCGCTCCACGATCAGCAATACAAAACAAACTAAAAAAAAAACGAAACGGTAACGGCTCCTCCATCTTGTAAAATATAATTTGAAATAAAATGTAGACAAAAAAGGATGTTCAGCAAATGTCAGTAAGGAAAACACAAACACCTGTTCCTTCATCTGCTCTGTTTCGCTCAGGGAAATATATATATTAATTTGGTGTGCTTGTTCGCGCTTAAAATCATATTTACCCAGCTTGACGCTCCCGCGGCATCAGTCGTCTTCGCAAGCAGACAAGTACAACGCATCCTTTTCGTTCTTTTTCTTTTCTTCACCATCGACGTTGTAGAAAAAAAAAGGGGGAGGAGTCCATATGTGTGTTTCATACGAAGCGATAGCAGGCCGAGTAGGCGAAGCACAAAATCAACAAACGAAAACAGCAAAAAGAAGAAGAGAAAGGAATGGGAAACTTCTTTTGTAATTGATAAAGCACTAACGTTTGAGGTCTCTTTTCGAGATGAAGCAGCCACAACATCATCCAGTCGGTGTAAGTAAAAAAAGGAAAGTGTGTTGAAAGGGTCACACAAGGCTCACATGTATAAACAGCATAATAATAACAATAATAAAGCATACGATGCGTAGAACAGAAAGAAAAAACCTGCGAAGGAGAAGCGAGGGGAGTCTTTGTATGCCGCAGAGCGTCCCGGTGGAGTCGCCTGCTCCTCTCAATCGCACTCTTCTTTTTTTTTTTACTTTTGACAGTGCTACTGTTTCTTCTCATCTACCGCTCTCTCCTGTTTTTCTGACCCACAGCGTTGATATCCGAAAAGACTCGCTATCGAAAGCACCATGCCAACACGACTTCTAACTGGAGCTGTGATACAGGAACTATAAGAAAAAAAAAGGTGCGAAGTTCTGCCGCTCAAACTCTTTAGCTCGTACACTGTGTTGCGTGTGTGTGTGTCTTTCTTCTTTTATTGATTCTTGCGGTTAATCTCGTCGAGCTGCTGCTCCACTTGCGTCTTTTTCGATTCCGCTTTGGTCTTGATCTTGGAGAGGTACTTGTCCGCCATAGCCTGCGCCTGACGCAGCGCACCGTCGATCTCCTTCTGCTTCTTCTCGTAGACCACCGGAATAGAGAACGCGAGGAGGAAGGCCACGAACACCAGCGTCGAGTCGCTCTTCCAGTTGCCCACAAAGGCGAGCACAATCGTAGCGACGAAGAACTGCGCCGAGGCGGCAAAGTCGCGCCAGGTGATGAGCGCCACGGCGGTGTCGACGCACTTCGTCACGTGTGGGCGAATGGACTCGTAGGTGCGGTCCATCCTCGCGCTGACCTCCTCAGGCGATTTGATCGACACCTGCTTCGTGAGAGCAGCCGCGCCACCAACGATGAAGGCGATCGTCGCGAGGCGGGCGGCGTAGGTCGTGAGGGTGTATTGGAAGTACACGTAGACGAACCAGAAGGCAAAGATGGAGCAAGCCACCACACCAGAGGCGACGGGGCGGTGCCAGGCCAGGATGTCCTTCGTCGTCACACCCTTAAACTGCTTCGTGACGGTGTTCATTCTGAAGCAGAAGAAAGTAATGCTTTACGAGAGAAAGAGAAAACGCTTCGTGTGTGCGTGTGTGCGCGGGGAGGGAGGTGTATTGGCGATGGCGAAGGAAACGAGAACAGGAAACGAATGAACTCGCAGTGGTTTACGAAATATGAGACCTGTGAAGCAATTAAGAAAAATATATATCGCACACTGAGGGGAATGTGGTGAAGAGAAGGAAGGCAGGTGTCAAGATCGGAAGTAAGTGCGTGGTGCAAACGACACGTGTTCTGAGGTGGAGGTGGTGTATATGGTAGAAGTAGAACTTTAAAAGGAGAGTGGTAAAATCTGTTGGCGTAAGTGCACAGGAAGCGTTACGCGGCAAAAGCCGGCGTAGGAGGATAAGAGGGAAGAAATGAAAAAAGAGAATACAGGGGATTCAAGCGATAGTGGTCAACGAGGACGCATTTTCGAGATGGGAAGAAAGGCGTTAAGATGTGTTCGTTGTGCGTTCGTATTCTTCACCTTTCTATTTTACCTGCGATTCGATCCCGAATCTACGAGGATAATGGATCAGGCTGTCATCTGTCAGCCACGGTGCAGAGTAAATAAGCGCAGAGTTACGCTGTTTCGTACAGTTGTCTGTCCTTCGCAAGTCGCGCGTGAACGAAGCCCCTAACGCAGCAGAGATAAGGGAGAGGAAAAAAAAGAACCGTTAATAGCTAGCGAGCAAGTGAGGTAATATTGTGCTCGACTGTCGGAAGGCCGCATCCCTGCCTCATGGGATCAGAGAAACAAAAAGGGTGAAAAGCCACGCCGTTACGTAGCTCCGTATTAAACTGCCTTTGAGGTGTAGAGCACCATACCTTTGCTGCTCCTCAAGTACGTCTCCACTGCACACGCCGGTGCCACATCGCGTGCGGCGCACCAGCGGGCGTAAAATTCATTACGTGACATGGCCACCGCACCGAAGTGCTTCTCATACTCCGCCATGTACCCAAGACGCAGTCCCCAGTACCAAAGCGTGTAGCCGCACCGCTGCAGCGCCTCCCCGAGCAGCTTCGTCAAAAAGGTACCGAGGCTGTCCTTGCACCGCCGCACGGTGTACATCGTGTAGTCGTGGTAGACGCTGCCGATGGCCATACCACAACAGCCCGCGACCACCTCCGCAGCTGCCTCGTCCACCAGCTCGACACACACAAGACGCACCCCAAACGTGTCCTGCGATGGCGCCGCCTCGCAGCAGCTGCCCATCAAACGAATAAAGGCCGGGTCGAGCCACGAAGCCTCGTGCTGGACAAGGTGGTACTCGTAGGCGCGCTGAAGACTGCCCGTCACACCAGCTGCGTCGTCGCGCACCACGACCGTGTAGGTGCCGGCCCGAATGACGCGTCGTACTTTGCTGTGCCCGCGCCAGGGGTAAAATCGTGCTTCTGGCAGTTCGCCGCCGTCGTTTGCCGCCCCCGTCGCATCCGTTTGCCCATCGGCTCGTTGGCGTGTCAGTGGATGACTCTCCACGGGAGCACCGCTGGTGTTGTGCCGTGCGGGGGAAGCGAGGTCCAGCACGTAGCGCTCATCACTGTTCGGGAGAAGAAGGAGCAGAAGCGTGCTTTGCGGGCCGCACGGAATGGGCTGAGGCAGCGTGAAGAGCCCGTGGTACCAGAGGGCGTGCATGAACGGCAATGCGGTTCGCGCGTCTAGCGGGTTGGTGGGCAGGTAAAAGAGGTATTCGCTTTCTCCCTGCGCCGCGATGCACTGCACAAACTCGGGGTGAAAGAGCAGGCTACCGCGCTCCACGATGTGTGGCGACTGCTCGCGCAAGTCCACCGGGAGACGGAAATCGAGCGTTTGGAAGGTGAGCTGCGTCACAGCCGAGTTGGGAGCCTCTTTCTCAGGTGTTTTCGTTTGCGAAGTCAGCGTCACCTTGTACGAGGTGGAGAACTGCAGGCACCACAGAGAGGCAACGTAGCATTTCTCTGTCGCGAGCTCCTTGTTGGCAGGGATGCGAGGCGTCTCGCTTGCTGGGAGTGCCTTCCGCAACGCCGAGCGGCTGGTAGAAAGGGCAACGCGCGGCAGCTGCGCCGCAACAAGAGCAGCACTTTCCTTCGCCACCGCTTCCCCGTTTCCGTACTGCCGTCGCTGCGGTGTTCTGTTTGCGTGTGGGTTAGAAGCAGCAGAGGTGGACGAGACGGCGACGACCTCGAATGGGTGCGAGGACACAAACGAGACCCAGTTCAGTCCGTCATAAAGAATGTACGAGGCCTGATTGGGTGAGGCGATGTCCTCGTTGGCGTTGGACCTGTCTACAGCTTTTTCATTGGTGGAAGAGAGCATCGGGCTCCAAGGCAGCCCGCCGCGCTAGGGAAGGAGCTTCCCCGTTGGATAAACGAGAAAAGAGTTGTTCTCTGAATTTCATTGTGGCGGAAGCGAAAGCACAAAGAAAAGACAGCGCAAAAAGTCAAAGTGAAGAGTTACATTAGAAGCGCCCAAATCGTCTTCGCCAACAGGTGAAAGACACTTTAGCAACGTCAGAGGAAGGACTGTTCCATTGCTGAGCTTGTCAGCTTGAGTTTCAGGGTCCGCATTTCCCTTTTTTTTTGAGGCCTTATGGTTTCTGCGGAGAACAAATAAGCAAGTAAAAAGTGCTTTGCCGGTGGAAAAAGTCACGTTGAAGCCGACGCCTTGCTTCCGTTTTTCTCTTTCTCTGTTCTCCCTTTTTTACTTCTCGGCTCGCTTCTCTCCCGCGTTTGTGCTGCGTCTTCGATCCCGCTCTAATTCGGGATTCGCGCTGAAAGTTCACTGCGGGTGTGCCGTGCGCGTCACGCTGTCAAGACCGAAGAACTGGCGTGTCAGCAACGCCTCACACGTCAGTCGGACAAGCTACCAAACAGATACATATATTTGAGAGAAACACGAAATACGGATATCCGAAAACAAAAACAAAAAAGAACGCTATGCTGAGGTAAAGAAATATATACCAATCCGACAAGCCCACGACGTTGACGACAATTGGAAAACAAAACGGTTTGAGGTCGAGAGGGTAAGCTGGAAGAAAGAAGCTGTGGCATTCACACGGCCAAAACGGAGCGGGGTGTTCTAGCTTTCGCTTCGCTCTCTCTTTCTTTCTTTTCATTTTTTTCTTCTTCTTCCCTCGTTTCTTCGGACAACGGAGACGCAGCTTGGCCGCAGAGAAAGCCGTTACCGTCGGACGCCTTGTCAAGCACGTCTCCGAAGCCTTTTTCTTTTTTGTGGGGAGAGAAGGAGGTCGTCGCTTTCCCTCCGGTCAGCTCCTTTAAAAAAAAAAAATAGAAAACAAACTTTGTGTGGAGCGAAACCACACAGTAAGAGAGGAGAGACAGAGAGCAACGCCCCGGTGCGCTCTTACGACAGCCCGACCACCTTTCCTGTCTCGCAGTCAATATCGATGTTGTAGTACGCCGGCCGCGTGGGCAGTCCGGGCATGGTGGAGATGTCGCCCAACAGCGGGAACACAAAACGCGCGCCGCAGTTCACGCGGATGTCGCGGATCGGCACCGTGAAGCCGGTGGGTGCACCGCGCAGGTCGGGGTTGTGCGAGAAGCTGTATTGCGTCTTGGCCATGCACACCGGGAAATCGCCGTAGCCACTCTTCTCAAAGTCGGCCAGCTTCTCCTCCGTGTCGTTGAGGTACTCCACGCCTGCCGCGCCGTAGATCTCGCGGCACACCGTCTCGATCTTCTCCTTGAGGGAGACGTTGCTGGGGTACAGCAGCTGGAAGTTGGACGGCGTTGTCTCCGTCGTCTTGATGAGTGCCTTGGCGAGGTCCACCGCGCCGGCGCCGCCCTTCGACCAGTGGCTCGTGACGACAACGTCCGCCGCACCGCCCTCCTGCGTCGCCAGCTCCCGCACCAGGTCCAACTCCGCTGCCGTGTCGCTCGTGAATTGGTTCAGTGCGACCACCACCGGCACGCCGAACTTGCGGATGTTGCGGATGTGACGCAGCAGGTTGCTCATGCCTGCGCGCAGCGCCTCCAAATTCTCTGTGCCCGCGTTCTTCGGCTCCACCCCGCCGTGGAACTTCAGCGCGCGCACCGTCGCGACGAGCACCGCGGCATCGGGCTTCAGTCCGCTCGTGCGACACTTAATGTTGAAGAACTTCTCACATCCCATGTCCGCCCCGAAGCCGGCCTCCGTCAGCACGAAGCCGTCGTGACCCACCAACTTCAGTGCGATGCGGTCGGCCACAACGCTGCTGTTGCCGTGGGCGATGTTGCCAAAAGGCCCGGCATGCACCAGCACCGGCGTGCCCTCGAGCGTCTGCATCAGCGTTGGCTCCACCGTGTCCTTCATCAACACCGTCATGGCACCGGCGCAGCCCACGTCCTCGGCTGTCACGGTGGCGCCGGCCTTACTCTTCGCGACCTGGATTTCACCAAAGCGCTGCCGCATGTCGGCGAGATCGTCAACGAGGGCCAAGATGGCCATCACCTCCGACGCGACGGCGATGTCGAAGCCCGTGCGGCGCGTGACGCCCTTCTCCGCCTTGCCGAGGCCGATCTCGACGTCACGCAGCAGACGATCGTTCACGTCAACGACTCGGCGCCACGAGATGGTCGCTGGGTCCACGTCGAGACGCGCAAAGCGCACCCGCTCCTCCTCTGTCAACTCCTTCGGGTCCGTCTTGTCGATGCCAAGCTTGTGCAGACGCTTCTGCATGATAGGCGTGAAGTCCTTCAGCTCGTTGGTGAGGCGGCGGTAGAGAGGGGCGTCCTCCTGCGTGCGCTCGTGGAAGATGCGGGTGTCCAGCGCGGCGGCGAGGAGGTTGTTGGCGGCCGTAATGGCGTGGATGTCGCCGGTGCCGTGCAGGTTGAAATCCTCCATCGGGATCACCTGACTGTAGCCGCCGCCGGCCGCACCGCCTTTAATGCCGAAAGTGGGGCCCTGCGAGGGCTGGCGGATGCAGGCGAAGCACGGGCGGTTGAGGTGCGCACCGAGGGCCTCGGCGAGGCCGATCGTTGTGGTGCTCTTCCCCTCGCCGAGCGGCGTCGGACTCATGCCGGCCACGACGACGTACTTGCCATTCGGGCTGCCTTCCAGTCGTTGCAGGATGCTCAGCTTCACCTTGGCCCGGGTGGTGCCGTACGGACTCAGCTCCGAGGGCAGAATGCCAGCGGACTCGGCGATGCTGGTGATGGGAAGCGCCTCTACGCTTTGAGCGATCTCGATGTCCGAAGGCACCGGGACAGCGCAGTGCAGCTTCCGGGCGGTCATGAGAAGAACAAGCGACGGAAAACGAGTAATGTTGAATACTCGCAGCGGAAGAAGAAGAAAAAGAAAATGTTTGCTGTGTTGAAAACGAAAAAGGAGAGATGGTTGCAATGGAGGCGCTGTACTTCGACTGCTTTCTACTCCGCAAAAAGTGGGGGAGGGAGGTTTGCTTTACCTCAATCGCTCCTGCGTATAGCCCAACGTGATGCCGGATGCGAAAAAGAAGAAATGGAAGCTTCTCAACAGCGCTGGAAAAGATGTGTTCGGATAGGGTTTTTTGGGTCCTTTTTTCATGTATTGAAAAACAATTGTCTTAGGGTGCGTTTCACACACGAAAAAAAGGTCGCTGGATTGAAAGGTAAACCGAGTTGCGTGAGCGAAGATTTTTTCTTCTTTAAAGCGCACCGCCCTTGCGAATTGAATGAAGTAAGTCGTTGGATGAGAGGAAACCCAAGAAAAAAAAACAGATATGCAGATCAAAAGCAAAAGGAAGCGCTTCACTCGATACCATGAGAGATGGCGGTAATAAGCGAGAGAGCAATCGGCCAAAACACCTCACCGAGGTCCGGCCATCAGCTCTCAGCCGCACTGCCAGACAAAGGTAAGCGTTGCCGCCGCTGCCGCTTTCGCTAAATGTTGGCTTCCTATGCATGAGGTGCGGGCCGTGGAAGGCACAGGTCGCGCCAAAACCCAGGAAGAGCACGGATGTTTCTTTCTTGGGGGGCGGAGAGGGGGGAGGCCACGGCGCCAGCGAGAACAGCTGCGTGGTCCGCATTGCAGCAACGAAATGAATTTCCATTTTGGTGTGCCACCTGCTGAGCGGACATGTGTATATGTCTGTGTGTGTGTTTTTGTTGTCGGTGCTGTGTTGTTTTGCTTGTTTTTGTTATACTTTTCTTTTTTTTTTAGCTTTTAGAGGTGCGTAATATATATATATATATATATATATATATATGAGAGAACGCGAGGCCGACGCCGTACCGTGTTCTCGCGCATGTGTCATGCACTCCCCTGTTGTTTGCTACCTCCTTCATTTTCGTTCTTCTCACCTCTTATTAAATCTTGATGTACGGGGCTCCTGAAGTGCCTCTTCCAGCAGAACACACACAGAATCAAATACCACCACAGAAAGCGACAACAGCGAGGGAATCGCTTTCGGCACAGCACGCGCGCGACGGACTTAAAAGGGCAGAAGGTGGGGCGCGAACAGAGGAGATCACGTCATAAACAGGGGAGTCCACAGCGGACGCAGAGAGGGCGAGGGAGGAGCGAGCAAGGAAAACCTCAGTGCAAGAAATCGGCTCTATCACCGACGTGCTTTTAATAGTTCCCGCGTCCGCGGCCACGACCGCGACCGCCGCCGCGGCCCGCCGCGTATGGATTGAAGCCTTGACTCATGATCCCCGCCAGCATGGCGAGAGTGGCCATTTCCTGCTGCATCGGGTTTCCGCCGCCGCGACCGCCACGAGGGATGTAGCCGCCCCCGCCGCGTTGGGCGCCGCGCATGAAGCCCGGAATGTTGTCGCGCTTCATCGCCACTTTCAGCGGCTTTCCGTGCAGCGACTGGCCGTCCTTCAGCAGCGCCGCGTGCGCCTGCTCCTCCGATTCAAACTCGACGTAGGCCGTTCCTTTGGGGTTGCCCTGGCGGTCCTTCAGCACCGTCACGCGGGTGATTGTGCCGCAGGAGGCGAAGAAGACGCGCAGGTCTGCCTCGTTTGTGCGGGTGTCGAGGTCGTTCACAAAAATAGACGAGTTCGTCTTCGCCGCGCCTGCGTGCACTGCCGCCGTCGCCGCCGCCGTCTTGCGCGTGCCTTCGTCCTTGGCCGCGGACTCCTGCAGTGTCTTCAGTTGCATGTCTTCCTGCAGGCTGTCCACCTGGCGCCGCATCTCCTCTAACTCCGCCTCAGCGTCCAGTTCCACGTTAAACTGCACCTCAGCCGAGGGCACCTCCGTCTTCTCGTTGGGATTCGATGACATGGTGATGATGGTGCTATGTGAATGGTTTGCTTGAGGAAATACAAGCAGAGCAGTAAGCGATCAAAGAAAGAAAAGAAAGGCAAAAGGCGCACCAACCTGAACGACACCGTGAAAGAAAGAAAAACTGCGGGCTTTTCCCTTCCAAATTGTTTTTGTCGTTGTCGTCGCCGTGCAGAAACACACCAAGGTGCAACGGGGGCGGAGGCGACACACGTTTCACAGAGTGGCATTCATTTGCGCAAGACCAAGAGAGCACGAAGAGGAGGAAGAAGGGTGGGAATGAAGTCAAAAAAAAAAACGCGCTGTTGAAATACAACGACATCATTGCAAGTGCTTTTCGCTTTAATTGTTCTTCTTACAGTCGCTTCTCATGTAGGGAAAGAACGGTCGCCTGTGCAGCGTGCCCGCCCTCGCAGTCACGACAAATCACAGCGACCCATCTTTTTGCACCTGCCGCAACGCAGAGAAGCGAATTCGCAGTTCGTGTGAAGAGGCAAACCGAGAGGGACAAGCTGTATCGCCACGGAGGAAGAAACAAAGAAAAAAGCGGCGACCACTGTGCGAAAGAGGAAGAATCCAACGATCTGCGGTTCCGCAAATCTGTGTTTTTTGGAGGTGTGAGTGTTTGCCACTGCAATAATAATTAGGAAAAGCTGTCAAAATGATTCCGCGTTCACAAGAACAGAGAGGAAAGGAAGAAACGTACATGGGTGACACATTACAGCAAAGAAGACAACGAAAAGAAAACAAGAAAAGAGAAAAAGACAATCTTTCAAAAGATCTACGTTACATGCGTTCAACGAACACCCCGATTTGCAGGGCAGCCTTTTGCTTTTACAATTGCGGTATGAGACGAGAATGTTAAAGGCCAAAACCTTTTTGGTAAACTCATCACGCGAAGCGCGTGCTACTCCGTACTGTACATCTCCTGGAGCTGGGTAATGAGGTAGTCGTCCAGCGTGCGCCGCTCCCAGTACTCCTCCTCCACGAAGCGGCCTAAATTCTTCCGCATATCGGTGCGCGGCCGCCCCTGCATCGTGACCGCCAGACTCTTCCCGTGGCGTGCAGTGCGGGAGCCAAAAGGATTGCCGGTCCCGTCCCACGTCTTCGTCTTCCGACTGGTGGCCGCTCCTTTCATACCGGGCGACGGCCTGCGGCCGCTCGGCTTTTCCCGCGCACGCGGCGACTGCAGCCCACGGCCGCTGCTGTTCGCGTCGCGGTACACTGGCGAAGTCGCACTGGGCGCCGCCTCACTTTCGCTGTAGGGCACCACAAAAGGTCGGTCGTCCGCCGGTCCCGCAGAAGCCGCGTAGAGCCCTTCGTGGTCACCGCCGTCATCGTTGCAGGCCTCACGGCCGTCTGCGCCCCAGCCCATACTTTCCTTCTGCAGCAGCGGCATGGAAAGCTGCGGAAGCGTCTGGCGCTGCTCGTGGGCAAAGTCACCATCCGGCACCCACTGTGGCACATCGCCGGTGGGGATCAACGCCAGCTCAGAGAGAAAATTCTGATACTCCACCAGAAAAATTTCTTCATACAGTCGGAATGGTCGTGACTGCGGCCGCATGTTGCCTTGCAGCTGCTCCTCCGCCAGCTGCAGGAGCTGCAGACGAGCGACGTTCGCCTCCACTGACGGTGCGGCGGGCAGCACACGGCGATGCGTCACGATAAGCTTGTCGTGATCTGTCAGCTTACTAAACAGCTCGTAGCCGTGTAGACGCGCGCGCAGACGGGGTCCGTAGAGAAGGAAGTTCTCAAAGGAAAGACTCGACTTGCCCTCGCAGTTCTCCCACAAAAAGTCGACGCCTTCGCGGAACGCCGCACCACACGGAGTGAAGAGCACGAGCAGGTCGTACACGTCCTCGGCGCTCAGCGCATCCTTCCTCATCGAGAGCACGCGAAAGAGACGCCGGCAGTCGTGCAGCGCGTTGCTCTCGACACTGCTGTTTCGGCGGTACTCGTCGAGCACAGCTGCGAAATCGATCGCCTGTAGAGCCTCGCGGAGCTCGAAGCCGAAGGAGTCGTGATCAACATGGCTCACCAGCTCCCTCATCGAGTTTTCTCCCCCGTACGTCGTGAGGCTAGAGGAATCTTCGCTTTCCGCCGTGACAAGGGCGTCGCTCTCCCTTGTTGTGTATGGTGCGTTCTCTCCGCGGGTGAGAGAAGCAGGCGAACGCCCGTGCGGCGTCGAACTCGCTGGGGAGTTCTTGTCATTTCCTATTTCGGCTGCGCCGCTGCACGGTGGTACCGCGTGCACGATGGGCGGAAGCAGCTGTGGACGAACGTCTTCGTACCCGCTGGTGGAGGAACCGTCCTCGGCGGAGGACGGAACCTGCGTCATGGAGTACCCCCGCACGCGATCCTCCGCTGGATGCGACAGCGGACGAGGGTACTCCTCTGCGTCGATCGTTGGCTTCTTCGTAGTGCGGCCCTTCGAGGCAGAAAGACCCTCTGACGTGAGACTCGTCGGGTGATCAGGCGAAGCCACGTCGTCCTCCAGGATGTCCGTGGCGAATGCAGTCATGAGAGCATCTGCAGCTGGGGCGGTGGGAGCAGCGCGGCCCGTCGGCGCTGCCACGTCGTCTCTCTTGTTGCCGGCCTTTACGTTTGGCCGTGCCTGTGACAGATTGTGGCGAGGACCACTTTGTTGCTGCGGAGAGGCGCGCGAGGAGGGTGGACAGCTTTCCACCGCGAGCAGCGAGGCGCGCCCGACGGCGGAGTTGTCTGCGGTACGCTCATCCAGCTCCTCCAAGTGCTGCACCCGCAGCGCATTGGACACGTACGTCGCGGGCTGCGGGTGCTCCGGCTCGTGGGCGCCTGGAAGCGAGGTGGGGCTCGTCTCTGTCAGCGCGTGCGGGGACGAATAACGGTGCGACGCGTCATGCGAGGGCGGGGGGAGGAGATAGGCGTCTGCGCTTATCACGAAATCGTCGGCGCTGCCTCGTTTGTGTTGATGGGACGTTGGGGCGTCGGCGACGTGGCAGACGTACGAATCTGCCGACGGCTCGACATTCGCCATGGTTGGCCGATTGTCGTTCAAGTAGCTTCTTGTCTGGGTTTTCTTCTTTCTGAATGGTGAAGCAGCGCAGAGAGGAAAGCAGTGACGAAAGAGCACGAAACGAAAGTGACGGTGAGACACAAGAGGGGAAAGCGAAGGAGAAACAAAACACAAAAACAACGCTGGCCATCAAAAAGACCTCCAGAACCAGCGGTGACACGCGCGAGGCAAACAACGCGCACGAAGCGAAACGCGTCCACTCAGCTTGTGGTGTGCAGCTTTACCCCCCAAAAAGAAGAGGTCCTTCGGAGTCCATCAAACGCACTAGTTTGGGAGCGTGACCGTTGTCATTGAGCATTCTTGTCTCTCTTCTCGAGTGTACGATTTTGGTGAATTCAACAGCGTTTGTGAAACAGCGGGACAGCTTCGTCCCTGTCGTACCCTCGCCGCAGCTGGAAGAAGAGAAAAAAAAAGGGGAGGCCGAAACGAAAGACACCGCAAGCGATGTGGTTTGCCCAGTGCGGTGCGAATTTGAAGGCGAGGAACCTCTTCAGAAAAGTGCTGCTTCTCCGCTGCTTTATTCATCTTTAGAGTGCGGTGTTGGGCCTCCTGGGGGGAGCGGACCGTACATGCGACTCATCGAATACGATCGCACCAGAAAGATCCCAAGCACGCCCACCACCAGCAGCGCCAACTGTCCCCACACCGCCATCGTCGGTCGCACGGGCGGGATGGCGCTGCTCTGAATGCGACGAAAGATTGTCACAAACAGCTCAATATCGTCCACCGTGCGGATGTGATCCTTCGGGTACGGATACATGCGGCTGTTGCTGAGAAGCACCAGCCTCGATGACAGTTTGCCTTCACTGAAGCGAAGACACAAGGCGGGACTCTCGTCGCACACGACGTAGGCGGGCACGACCTGATAGGTGTCTAGCGTCGCCTTGGGCAACTTTACGAACGCCTCAAACATGGCAATCTCGTGCACCGTCTGCTGCGAGAAGTGCTGCGCGGTGGCGCCCTCGTTGCTGGGGACAAAGAAAATAAGCCAGTTGCCGCTCGTCATACCGGAAGTTGCCTGGGTGTCGTGTTCAAACGTGTTTTCAGTGAGCCGCTTCGCGCCGCAGTCATCGCTGACTCGGTACGGCCCCGCGGCGGTGTTCAGCGCCGCAACACTACCAATGATGCTGCCAATAAGCAGCACGACGAGAAAGGCGCAGGGGGCCTCCCTAAGGAGACCGTGACGTGACGAACACCGCATGGCTTTCCCGCCTGCCTGCAACTTGGAATTGTATGGAGGAGATCGCTGCGTATCACTCAGTCCGTCGTGGGTGTGCGGGTGCGTTGTTACCGAAGACGAAATGGAGGTGAAAGAACACACATTGTTTTTTTTTTTAAGGCCAGAAAGGGTCCCCCGAGCAGAGAGAGCTGGTAGTACCCCGCTGTTGCATTGGGCTCGGGAAATCCAACATTCTTCGTTGGTATGTGTTGACTCATCTCTTCTTTTTTTATCAAGCCGCATTTTTGTTGTTCACGAAATTATTTGCCCTGATGATTAAAGAAGCGTTTTCCGTTGCGTTACATTCCTAGGTATGCACGGCAACGCTTTTTCTTTTTTTTTAAGGTTTGGATGGCTTGTTTGCCTTTCTATTGTTGTAGCTGTGTTTGAACGTGCGTTCGTTCTATGATGTACGGCACTTCCGCTGCGCTACTCTTCAACAGGCAATAAAAGAAAGAAGGAGAAACGCATCCCGCATCGGTCCCAAATAGCAGGCACTCACGGTGATCTTCGCCGTTTCATTCTTTTTCAGCTCGCTCTGGGAGAATGCGCTTGTTTATATATTGGTGTTTTTCCTATGCGGCGCACACGGAGCTACCAATGTCCAGCAGTTGGAGGTAGTCGTCCCCACCATCTGCCAAACGGCGTTCTGTCTCGCACATCTTGATCATCATACGTCCGCGCTGTGCCGAGTTCAGCGGGCACTCCGGACTCACGAGGAAGCGCTGAAGCTGCTGCAGCACCTGTGCGGCCGCGTAGCCCTGTGCCACGAGCTGCCGGGTCACCTGAATTACCTGCTCCAAGCGCTGGGAGAGCAGCGCCTTGAGGTACGTCTGCATCACATCCGCCGGTACACTTCCCGAGACGGAAACAAAGTCTTCCTTTGTCAGATCGTTCCCGCTGGCCTTGTGCGCTGACTGCAGATGCATAATGGCGAGGCGCAGGTCACCGCCGCTCACGCCGTCCAGCGCCTGCAGGGACGCCTCCGATAGCTGAATGCCCTCGCACTGTGCCACGAACTGAATACGGTGGTATAGCGCACTCTTCACCAACGGCTTAAAGCGGTACTTCGCGCATCGGCTCGCGATTGGGTCGATGATGCGACTGACGTAGTTGCACAGAATGCAGAACCGCGTTACGTCGCTGAAGTCCTCCATCATGCGGCGCAGGGCACCCTGCGCATCCGGCAGCAGCGCGTCCGCCTCATCGAGTATAATGAGCTTGAAGCTCGGCACCGGGTATACCTTGCCATCCGATTGCGTCACGCCACTGCCACTGCTGGAGACGGCGCCTTGGGCAAACACTTTGATTTTTTCGCGAACGACGTTGATGCCGCGGTCATCCGAGGCGTTGAGCTCCCGTACGCGGCTGCGGATGTAGTCGGGCCCAAACAACTCATGGGCCACGGCAAGAATCGATGTCGTCTTGCCGGTGCCGGGAGGGCCGTGGAAGAGAAAGTGCGGCATATTGGCTCCCTCCTTGAGGCACGCACGAAGGGCACTCACGGCCTCATCCTGCGCCTCCACTTCGTCCAGCGTGCGAGGGCGGTACTTCTCCACCCACGGTGTGGAGGCGCCAGGGATGGGTGTCGTGGCCTCCGTCTTGGCCTTCTTCGACGACGGCTGCGAGGAGAGACTCATCGTCACTAATGTGTGCTGCTGCGAAGCCGGTGAACGCCTGCCAACTTATTCTCTGTCTGCTTTCAGTCAGTCTATGGCGTGTGTGTGTTGCTGTTGCAAGTGCTAGCTCTTACGTTGCCACGCCGTTCCTTGCGTGAAGTACTCCGAATTTTATCCTGCTCGGAGCAGAAAGAAAGAGACAAGAGAGCAAATTGGCTTTGAAGAGTGGGCAGATACGGCAACTCGTTCGCTCACAGTTTCCTTCGCGTTCGCTGGAAAAAGAGAGCTCATCTCGAAGAAGGCAACGTGAACGCTTCGCAAGTCTACGGTGCTGGACCACACGTACTGCTTGCATCAGGTAAACTGCGGTAAGCACGCAACCAAAATGAGCGGCAAGCTTCAATGTCGCGGCAGGGAAAACATAAAATTGAGGTGTGTTGTTTTTTTCTTCTACTGAGTACTACTTTTGAGGGCCAAACTGGACAGCAAAAGAAAAGGAGAATTTTGGTACATCGTTACGTATAAGAAGCTCACGAACGTCTCGAAGCACCCCCAAGTTGCGACGTCGTCGCACCATAGCACTTCATGAGGCGGTAAAGGGCACACACACACACACACACACATCAGTAGCAACAAATGAGCCCGGCGCACTCGGCTTAAGCCTTCTTCAGCGCGTTGTGGACGCGATGCGCAGCGCGTGCCGTCGCACACGCAAAGCCGACGCATCGCGAGTGTGTGGGTGGCATTCAACGCCATTTTGGCCTCCTCACGACACCGAGTGAAGATCATCGTCTTTGCCTGCTTTGTTCTCCTCAATTTTGCGGCGGAGAGAACGGCTGATGCGGACAGCCCCCGCCATCTCCGCCCCGCTCGGCCGTGACGACGCCGACGCCTTTATCCCGGCGGCCCCTAAAGGTGCGGTGCCGTCGCCGTCGTCCCTCCCTCCGCTGCCGTCGCGGAGAGAGAGGGGGACGGGCGGTCTGCACCCGGCTGCACGGCGCTGCCGTGGGTGG